AATTTGTAAAAAACCAATCTTCGGTTTGGTTAACAAAAACAAATTTTTTATTTTAGTAATCATGCTTGTTTTATTGATTATAAACAGTGGCGTATTTACAGGTAGTCCAGACCCCATTAACTCTCTCCCCAGAAATTGTTATTTTCACATTATTTAATATGTAGGATAATACATATTATAATACATATTCTAAGTAAATTTTATTCTTTAGGAACTCTCCCCAGAAAAGTGTTGAATACCCTCAACTGATTATAAATATTTTACAATTATGTAATTAATCTCTAACTATTTGATCAAAAATAATTGATTTCTGATTAACAAAGCGATAAATTACAATTAATATTTCAAAAGTTAAATATAGTTTAAAAATTGTACAGTTTTTTTTTAAGTTTTGGCTTTAGCACAAATGATAAAATTATATGACGTAAGTAGGTTCTAGATTTTGTGTACTCTTTTTGACGACAACAAACGCAAGTGTGAATAATTAAGTTTATTCGCACAACTAACACATCATATACAATAATAAAACTTGTTAGATTTGATGATGGTTAGAAAATTATTATATTACATTACACATTATTTTACATTACAAATTATTATAAATTACAGATTTAAGGAAAAAACATACCGTTTATTTATTTTTTAACGATACATTATTTACTATATTGTCATTTTTAATTTAAAAAAATGTGGATAATTTATATAGAAATATTTTTTGAGTATGGGTTCCAAAACAATATTATTTGAGAATAATGCGAAACTTGTTTATATTCTAAGAGGTGCCATCATGCGCTTGGTACAAATTCAATTATTCATTATAGTTTTTTGTTAAAATTTTGAAGTAGTAATAACTAGTATTGAGCTTAATCTAATGAAAATAATCGATTTATTCAATTATGAGAATAATCGAATTATTCCGGTTATTACAATTGTAATCGGATCATTTTAATGATCGTTTTTCATTTATTTTTTAGAATAATTCGTATTAGTAATTGAATTAATAAATGTATCGTTTGACAATCGAAAAAAATTATACAAATCTGACGGTTAAATGTTTCTCTTGGTCTTACAACTAATTAGTGAGATATTGAGACAAGGACGAGCTACAATTAAATAGGATTTGTATATTATACCTAATAAATTTTTGATAATTATTATGACAAATTCTATAGAATAAGAATATTTCCAGGTTATAATATTTTAGCAACTATATTTTTCAAACCTAAACAGATTATAAAGTCTTCAAATTTATAAAGACTTCAGTACACAAACATTAATATTTTTATTACTTATAATATTTAATTTCTATGGTGCTGTGGAATTTAAAGATCAGTGCCTATGGGCAAATAACTCCAGAATCTAATTAATCTAATATAACTAATAGCTTAACTAAAAAAATGTACCAATTATCATATGAATGACACAACCAAAAATTTTTTTATGGGGAATATTATTCCAAATCACTTTGATAATCATTTTTTTGTTTTAATATAACTTTTAAAATTTCTAAAACCACTATTCATTTTAAGCAAATGGGTAAACCAAGAAAAATATTTACTACCCTTTTTAAACAAAATTTTAAACCCGCTCCAAAATTTTGTTGAAAATACGCCACTGAAATGGCATTTTAAAATTAAATAATTAATAGTATTATAATCCATATTGAGATATTCATATTACTGTCGTTCTATAGTAATTGATATCGATTATCTTAGATAATTAAAAAACAAATCTACAGAACATAATCTATAAAAATGATCGTTTACTTTTATTGATAACAGTGGGTATTATGAAATTTAAATTTAATTGTTTTGATTATGCATGATTATTATGATTATGATATTATATAATGATAATATTACTTTAGTAACCGAGATACAGAAATTGTTCAATTATGTGCATTATTAGTAATAACAATAACGGCGGTGAATATATGAATACTAAAGAGTATGCAATAGAATGCAATCTGTAGAAAAATTTCGAAAGATTTTCCCTTTCCTAGAAAATTTTATTTTATATTTCCATATGTAAAATATTAAATTTTTTTATTTATATAAAGTATGATAAGCTTAGTTTAGAGAAAAGAGAATTCTCTTTTTGTAAAATAGTTCATATTGTATGACTTATTCGTTAAAAAAAAGGTCAAATTCTTTGAATTTTAAAATAGAACCAATATTAAAAAAGATATTTATGGTAGCAATTAAATGCAAATGTCTCGTTTAAGGTTACTGTTTGTGATAGAAATTATAAAATAAATAATATAAATAGTCTCGATTTATTAAAAAAGTAAATTTTGAATGTAAATCAAAACTAATTTTTAATATCAAGTTAGATCATAATTTATTTCTAATAAAATCAATTAAAAAATTAACTATAAATGAAATACTTTTAAATAAAACATTTTTGTACTTGCAAGTGTAATACAAAATTTTATCTTTTATGAGCTGAATAACAATAGACCTAACTCGTACTGAACTGAACCGTGTTATTGAGGTTGATCCGTAGGACCGGTTGACATCCATAGTTAATTACGGTTGTCAAATACTTCCTGTTTTCTTTTTTAGTCGATAAAAATTAAAAAAAACTAATTTATCTCCAATATATAAATATTATTTATCAATGTGATACAAAAATTTAATTTAATTTATTTTATTTTGTTATATCTTTACGTGAAAATTAATTTTTCAAACATTACTGTGATATTTCGTTGAGATATATTAAATACTTACAATTGTACAATTATATTTATTTGAATTCGATTTTTAAATTTACTTTGTAATAGTGAGATTGTGATTGTGTTTTGTTGTGAATAAATTACTCATTACTATTTGTTCCTCTAAATAAGTCTCCCAAATCAGTGGTGAATCTAAAAGGGTGTGTTATGAACCCCCTCTCCTAAAATAACTTCAAAATCATAATTTATTTTCTAGTTTAAATGTCATATCGCCGTATCATATTAAATATATAACTTGTGGACGGTTTTTTAGAAAAATCCGAAAATTATTAATTTATTATATTTTTTTATAAATTAAGTAGTACAATATATTTTGATAAAATCTATTGACAATTAAAAATTTTACTCTAATTTGTAATCTGTAATTTCTCATTGTAAATAGTTTTTAACTTGATACTTAATTTGAAAATTCTTTACAATAATATTTAACTTAAATATATTTTTTAGAACTTATAGGTTATGACGGACATTTTTAGAAAATGTTGAATTTTATTTTTTATGTTACTTACATTTAGATCATTGAATTAATTGGTCTGATAAATTACTCAATTATATTTGATATTATAATAATATTATTAAACCTAGATCATTTTAAATAATTTATTTTCACAAGGTTTTAAATAAAAAATTTAACTTTTAACGTACCGAACCCTTTTGAAATGAATACAAAATTAGCTCGTTTTGGTAATTTATTTTATGAAAGATTGATTAGAAAATTTTATTTTTTCGTTTGATAGGGTTAATGTTTATTAGTATCAGTTACTAGTTGATTATTGGATATAATGATCATTCGATATACTTTTTTAAAAAAGCATAACGGTTTAACGCGGAGTCGCATAATAAAATAACAGTCATGTCACGTGCAATGTCTCATACAATAATCGTTTTCTCCTTAGTCTATCTGTTTTTTCATCCTGTCGTTCATTACTGTTACGGTTGCGTTATATTATTCATACACATAACGACTAGTGATCGTCATAGATATACCTACCCTCCTATATACATATTTAGGGTAGGAGTGGAAGTGGCGCCCACTAAAAATAAAGGGGGATCGTCATAATGCGTGTGCAGTAGTATAACCCGTCGCCGGTTCACCTGGTTACCCTCGGGAATCACCGTTGTTGTTTACTTCTGTTCAAAGGGGTCCATGTTGGTCGCGTCAAACGCCCTTCAAAGTGCAATCTGCGATAAAACCGATAGAATTATTTGCGTGTCCAATGTCGGTTAAAAACTTCGTTTACAATTACTCAAAATTACAATTGTCTTATTAAAATTTAAAAGTATGTCATTGTCAAAATTATTTTTTTAAGTGACATATCTCGTTTTAATCACAATAATGGTGATGGGCTAATATCGAAGAATTATTTCAAACAACGGCATTTATGGTGAAAACTGTTTTTCATATTTTACTTTACAGTCGACGGACTTATAATAAAAGTACCACAATTCGCATCTCAATACTCAATAACATACGAAGTACTTACTTTTAATAATTAATATTGTTCGTCACTGAAAATTAAAGAAATAATCTTCACGTTGCAAGTGTTACGAGCAACTACCTGGTTTTTTCGTTGGTCTAAAAATGTATAAAAAATAAAAAGAATTGTTAGATTTTTTATTACCTCAGTGTTAATATTTATTTTAAATAGGGATATTTAGTAAAATAAAAAAAGTTTGACATAAACCTTTTAATAAATTTTATGCTTAATGTGACCAATAAATCACCATAATGAATATGAATATGAAGTTATCTTGGCGAATTCGGGGACTTTGATGTTAATCATATTGATGGCAAATTCACAAACAAAGGTAATGGTGTATGTAGCGTGTAATTAAAATGTATTTTTTGGAAATCCGACGCTAACAGAATACTTTTGTCAAAACTTTGAAATTAGTTCGAAGCACTAACCGTCTCTGTTGTAATACTTTAGAATATTATTTTGAATCATAATGTACAATCATTGAATGTGCTAATATCTACTTGATCGTGGAAAAAGTACAAGGATGTCTTTAAAAAACGTGTGCGATATCAGACTGTGTCGTTTTTTGCTTCGTCTCGTAGTCAATGGCTCGTGGCCAGCGTACGGCGTAGTCTTAATCGTTATTTTATAAATTATTTACATTATATTAGTATTATTATAATGAGCCCACGTTGGTTCCGCTGTGGCTATTCAATTTTGACGACAGGCGGCGTCATACAACGCGTTTTTTTGGGTCTTCTGTTTGGAGGGACGCGTACAACGTCACAGCGGTTACGCCGGCAGTGTGCGCCGTTCTTCCACCTAATCGAAACGTGCGCCGCCGTTGTTGTTTTTTATTCATATCTCGCCCATGTGTGATACACGTATAAATTTTAAATAATGCTCCAAAACGTATTGTGTTAAAACACTTTAGACTTAAGATTAGAATAAATCTATAAATAATAAATTGGTTTCAATATTTTCATTAATTATTTGCTCGGAAATCTATCGGTAATAACTTTATAGCATTTTTTTTTACGTTTATGGATACAGTAGTAATGGTAAGAGCATACTATTGAACTTTTTCTATGCATTTTAACTGTAATTATTAAAACACATTTTTAGTTCTCTAGTGTTGGTATGATTATTTATATTTTTTGCACAAATTAATCCGCATTAAGAGAATGTCTTCCACTGGTAAATATGTTTAAGACTTGCTCACTGTAGTGAATTTATTTTTGCGGGCTTTTCTATCGTTTAGAGTTCGTTTATCTAGACACCCAGGAGTGGGACAAGATGACAAATTCGACTTTATTTTAATTAATTAATAGTTCTTAGAATAATTAATATGTATTATTATATTATTATCTTTTTATTGGTCTCGATGTATCGAATAGTATTTCTACTGAATTTCAAGTTTTTATGGTACTTTCTTTAAGCGATTTAATTAAACCTTAAGAGTATCAGTTTGTCCCTTCCTACTCTATGAACATTTTCAAGGGGTTAATACGAACTTTTTTTTTTTTTATGTTGTTCACCCACTTTGTTTTACCGCTTTAAACCATGATTCTATTAAATGAAAAATTAGATGTATGTAATCTGGAAAAGTATATTTATCAAATAATTCATAACATTAAGATTTTAATGAAAATTATTTTTTTAAATAAAAATTCATATGTTAGATACAAATCAAAAGAAAACATATCTTAGAATCAATTGCGTACCAAATTGTGTTAGTAGTTATGCACCTCGTCGTACTAAAATCTTCTAGTTATTCCAATTTATTAGCTTCGATGCGAAGCTGAGAATTTTTATTTTAATTTAACTTTCGATGGAAAGTATAGAAATTATGATCTTATAAGCCAATAGTTAAAAGTGCCATTGTTCACTAATATCCATTAAGAAAAGTATATAGTTTTTGCGTGGGAGCATACAATTATATGATGTACTACACGTGTAAGCTCGGGCGAAGATATTGTGTGGTACGGTAGTTTAACATACAAGTCAACACCCAATATAATAAGCATTATTTAAGTTATATATCTCATGTTGCACTTTGAGGGGTGTGGTATGCAATGTATCATTCAGTCGACGCCTTAGCGCTAATGTTCCACTGTGCAGTTTGCTGATGGGTGACCATACGGAAACTTTACCAGTGACGCTCATCTTGCCATCCATACTGGTTCCCTCAGCCATAATGACGTTGCGTCAGGTTCGACAGTAGTTGGGTTACAGACTATGGTCTTATGCTATGCTTTAACGAAAAAATCTAAGCTCTAAAAAACTTTGAGGTCCTAAGGCCAAAGGCCTGATTCTGCTTTATCTAGACGTGTACACGTGTAGTTGTATCAACGGCGGACTTGGGATTTTTTAAAAGGACTAAGTGAAACTATTTATTTTCATTGTTCAATTCAAAATGTCGTCTGATAAAGCACTTAAATTTACATTATTTTACAAATAAGTCAAGTGTCTAGCTAAGGAAGAGTATGTTTACTATCCATCTTTTGATTATGCCACTGGTTTGTTTCACAATTTAATGTCATTAATGTATATAATCCTATTATAAAAGCTTTTCTAATTTAATGTTAATTTCGGTTTCACTTTTGATTTTGAATAAAGATGTTTAAATATTTATTTATTTTAGTTATTTATTAGATAGTGTAAAAATATTTTACTACTTTTTCATTTATAATTACAAGATTACACAAGTATAAAATTAGCAAAATACGTATTTGTTAATCATCAATAACTCAATTTGAATGGATATATAAATTAGATATCTCACTATATTTAAATAAGGTATTTTGGCCGGATGTCCAATATTGTTTACGCGGATTTCCATGTTGTTTGACATTTTGCAAGATATTGTTCTTTTTTTTTTAAAAATATTTTGACCTTATAGCATGTCTAGGGTTTCATGAGGGTACTTGTATGGCTCTACTTAAATCCTGAGCGGAAGGAAACGTGTTATTTGACACGCGGCGAGAACGATGAGACTAAATCCTGGAAAATTACTTAATGAGTATTATATGAGTTAGAGTGTATAAGAATAAATGCCATTCTTTAAGCATACGTCAAAAATTAGAATTTATACAACTCATAAAAACTTTTTAATGGAAAATGTTGTTAGTAGTATTATTATAATTTTCTTAGTTTATTTATATAATAAAATTATTTAATTTATAATTAGTTTATTTACTAATATTATGTATCTATTATTAGTTGATTAATCAAATGTATACAAAACAATGAGAAAATAGGATGAAATTTTGTGTTATACTTATTTCTTATAACTTTGTATTAAAAATTTCACTTAAAAACAGATTTGCTAAATTTTTTAACTAATTACTATTTTGTGTGGGTGCATCCAGAAATGAACTTGCCCATTGGCTACTGTACTACAGAACAGTGAACCGGTGATAATTTTACGGGAAACCGAATAGCATACTACATTGTTAATAGAGAAACAAAGAAATAGATTTTCAAAATGTTAATAAATACAGAGTGATTTATTAAAAATACTACATCCCCTCATTTATTCGTTAAATAACGATTTTTTAATTAAAATGCACAGATTAAAATTTGTATTATTTAAAATAAAATAAATAAGACATTGTTTCATGAAGAATTAAGTGTAATATAAATGTACCATTAGGAAATACTATATTACCTTGACACTCGTCATTATATGTTATATTTCTAGTAGGCCTCAAGTAAGCTCTACATTTTTTTAAACTAAAAACACGTTGAGCTCCAGTAAAATTTTTTTTTTAAATCTCAAATTTTTACAAAATGTTTATTTTAATGTATATAATACAGTTCTCATTAAAATTTCGATGATTGCATTTTTTTTTGATTCACCATTATTTGACTAGAATAGGTAACCGTCGTATCAAGGTAATGTAGTATTTCCTAATGGTTCGTTTATACTTACATCAATACTTTTTTATTTTTATTTATTTATTATTACATGTGTCAACTTTTAAGGAGGTATAGAATACACAACAAAATAAACTAAACAAGTATTATAATACATTTAATAATAATAATTATTAGGCACTTATTATTATTCAGCCAGTTAAGTAAACTGTATTTAAAAGTTATTAACCAGTAATATTTATATATTGATAAATATATTTCATATTTATTAATAATTGTCAGTCGAAATACGAATAGTACGATTTACTATGTGCAAATTTACATAAAAAAAAATAATTGTTGGCCAATGACGACGTAATGGGTAAGTGTAGCGTAGGACGTCAAAAATCGGGGAGACCGTTCGCAGCCGGTGCTCGGTGGACGGCCGCGATCCAGAGATATACTTAGCATCCAAACTAGAAAGTGGGGACACTCAAATTTTTCCATAACAATGAACATATTAAAATTTGTATTGTTTATATGAACATAATGAATATCAAGATTATTAGAAGAAAAAATTATTTCTAAGGGTAGATTTTAGAAGTAACTTTTGTAAGTTAATTGGGAACTTATAATTTTTACTATTAAATAGAATGTGGTCTAAATAAAATGTCGATAACCAGTATTGTACTAATTTTTGAGTTGTACTATTTTTAGTTATACTCATGAGGGATGCGTGGAGTGGAAGAATTCTTTTCTGTGCGTTATGAAAAAATCGCTAAACACAAACCCGTTCTTCAATTTTTCTAAATATTAAATAGCTAATATATTAAAAAGTAGGGGTAACTTATTATTAACCTATTATTATTTCTTTATAATTACAAGGACAGTGGTGTAATACACTCAATAATGTAATACTTCCAAATACGCTATTTATAGTAGTGTATTTGGTAACTAAATTCCAAAAAGATAAAATAATTCAATTTCATTAGGATATATTTATTGAAAACATGATTATAGCAAAGGTAGTAGTAATAATATATGATTTTTGTTTTTAGGTGTGTTTATTAATATAATTAAGATTTTATTATGTTCATCAATAACGCGTAAAAACTTTTTTTACGCGTTAATAATTTAACATATGCTAAAATAACACCATAATAAAATTTTACTTTTTTGTTTTTACAACTGTTTGTCGATTTATTTTAAGATAAATATGCCAAATCTTGTAGCAATTTATTAACTTAAATTGCTTGTTGTAAATTTTATTAAATAGAAGAGTTCATAACTTATGTATTTAGTTTCCTTTCAATAGCGTATCAGGCAACATAATTCCAAAAAGGTAAAATAAATCAATCTAATTAGGTAATATCTATTTGACCATGAACATAGCAGCCAAGGTAGGATTATTTTTTTTATTTAATATTATACTCTTTACATATGGAATCAATGCGGATGTTCTTGAAATTCCAAGAGATATTGTAGAACAAATACAAAATATTTTAGAAGCATTTGAAAATTGGATAATTGAAAACCAAAGAATAGAAATCAATGACAAATTCATAGCGTATTTCAAAGAATTCGGCAAGCGAATCGCACGAATATTAAGTTTGCCATCCAATAACAATATTTGGTGGTTATGGGAGCTTAGTATACTTTCAAATTCAATTGATATATTTAATCAGCCTATAGCAAACTGGGAAAATCATTATGAAATAACGAAAATGAATTTTACAAGATTAAGAGTTACTCAAGCTATCAGATTAATTAAAGACCAAATAAAAAATTACCTCAAAAAAGATAAAAAGAATAAAAGGTTTTTAGAATTTTTGTTATGTACTAAAACAGATCATAAAAACCAGCCAATTGAATCGATTGATCCAAAATTGGAAAGCCTTGATGAGGCTATTCAAGAAAAATTCGGAAATATAAAAGAAGATAAAGTTCATTTTTATACACCACAAAATCTATTTTTCTTTGATATAATTTTGAATGAAGCTTCTATACTGACACTTTTTACAAATTGTTCAGCTATTAAATGGATTGATTACAAAGAACATTTAATTCAAGTATACCATGAAGCTATGAGTGTGTGGGTTGATAAAAATGAAAAGTATTTAGAACTAATTACTTATAGAAAAACTTTAATTGATGCTGTAAGAATATCTTTTTTTGTTCAAATAAAATTACTCATTTCAATCTTTATAGGTTATGAGTCTAAAAATGATAAGCAGAATATTCAATATTGGGATGATCTCTGGAAATCAGTCACAAGTTTAGTAAAAAAATTTAAAGATTTTTTTCATTTTGATAATGATCAAAATTTAAAGGATATGCTTCAATATTTTATGGATCCTAAATTAGATAAATTTAAAGACAATAAAACTGATTTATTCAATATAGCAAATGACCAGTCTAAATGTAATAATAATTTGTATAACGGAACAATTTTGAAACTAGGAAAATTTATAAATAACACGAAAGGTTTAGAAGCCTTGGCGAAAGAAACTTTTAATAAACTAAACACTTATTTGAAAAATATTGAATGTTTATTTGAAAAATTTGACTTCGAAATTTCTAAGATATTTTACAATATTATTCCCAATAAAAACACATAAAATGTTGTATTATTAAATATATCATAATTATAATTTTTAGGAATATCTTGAAATAGTTCATGTTAGATATTCAATAATTTTATTTCATTGTTTTATTTTATAAACACTAAAATTCATTTGTGACTAATGAATTTTAATTAACTAATGACTAATGATTAGTCCATTCAACTATATTTTACATAAATTCTCTTATATTTAATTAGTAAATTATTAAATATTAAATAAGAAATAACTAAAAAAGATTTTTATATTTGTGTTTTTCTATAAATACCTCTTAAATACAATAGTTTTAATAAATATTTAAATATCAAAAATAATAAAATATTCTAAAAAATTAGTTATATGTGCACAATTAAATGATTTATGACAACGCTAACAAAACGAATTTAAATATTACTGTCGTGTACGAGGCAGCTAGACTGTAGGACGGCTAGTTGTGCACCGCACTAGAATGCCGTTTTACCTTAAGCCTGTTTAAAAAGCGTTATTATTGATGCGGGAGTGGGTCACCTAGGAGATGACGGCTAATTATACATCCAATAAGTAAACGAGAGTAGACAATAATTAAATAACAAATAATCACATATATTAGAAATTCCTCAGAGAGTATCTTAAATTTAAGGGGTAACGGGGGGCCCTTAAATACTAGTGGCCGGCGAAGCGGCATAAAACAAATAGTTAATCTCAATTAAAACAAACAATAAATAACATTAAAAATAATATAAAACTCAGCTGTATAGATGAAGTTGTTGATAGTGATGAGTGGACTGTATGAGATCTTGTGGTAATAGTGTCGAACATCTGAGTATGACGAGTCAGAGTGTAAATCCTGGCACGTAATAGCAGATGAGAAGAGACTACGGCAATGATAATGTTTAGTGATGGTCAAGGCCCGATCACTGGTGGCGTGCAAGGGCACGAAAACTTGAGCACAAGGGTGCAACAAACAAGTAATAAAAACTATGGCGTGCAACGGGCGAACAATTTACTATTCAAGCGAAGGCGCTTGCAACAGAAAAAAAGTGACACAAAAAACAATTGACTGACTGACTTACGACAATGAACTGTACACGGATGGAAACCGACACGGAGGTCATCGATTTGCCGTGATAGGTGGGCAAGAGGGTGAGTAAAGCAAGATGTTGGTGATCAGCTGTCCCACGAAATAGTATAATCAATGATCTTTGTAACAACTGGTCAACTAGATCCTTCTAAAGGCGTTCTGTACCATACAATTACTTTAAAATAACTTGCCCATAAAATAATGTACGTGTTAACATTTTTTATACATAAACATCACATTTCTCGTTATACATTCTGGTTATTTAGACTTCAAAATGGTATAAAAATGACAATTTAAATAAAAAATTTACTCAAGTGTTTATTTGTGAAAACACCAATGAAATAACTTAAAAAAAGTTTTTGAGGTATTAGTATTTAAAGATTTAGAAAAATTGAAGAACTGGTTTGTGTTTAGCGATTTTTTCATAACGCACAGAAAAGAATTCGTCCACTCCACGCATCCCTCATGAGTATAACTAAAAATAGTACAACTCAAAAATTAGTACAATACTGGTTATCGACTAGTCAACATTTTATTTAGACCACATTCTATTTAATAGTAAAAATTATAAGTTCCCAATTAACTTACAAAAGTTACTTCTAAAATCTACCCTTAGAAATAATTTTTTTTTCTAATAATCTTGATATTCAATATGTTCATATAAATAATACAAATTTTATATAATATGAAATATTTTAATGTGGTATTTCCTAATGGTTCGTTTATAGATATATCAAATTTTTATGAGATATGTTTGATTAATTTTTTTTTGAGAATAAAAGAAAGCTAAAGCACTAAAGTCTTAAAACATAACTTACTGTTCATAAATCAAAATTTTAAGAATTAATTTATCATGAGTCTTTAAAATTTTTACTCGCATCTTACTACTATAATAAATTATATTATTTAAGTTACTGAATATTTTTTTTGTCTTAAAAATTGATTATTTTATTGAACATTGCCAATGTGTAGAATCTAGGACAAGGATTGTTGTGAATTTCTTGAATTACTTAGAAGTTCTTATCAATCATGAACGTGAAAATGCTATACTTAATGGTTACTATAGTGCGGTAAATTCGAAGCTTCCCGTTTAAATTATACCAAAGTATTGAATTGAATTAGTATTAATTTTCAAGGTCGTATGCAGTTTGCACTTTAAATATTTATAGTTAGACCGTTTATCGATCTAACTTAAATATATTAATTGACATAAACTTAATGTTTATTATAAATTAACTAAATATTATTATTATTAATATGAAATATTATTCAATAAAAATGATGTTTTTACAAAAACTATTTAATATTATTTAAATTATTTTTGTTTATCTGATTCCTTATTACTAAATATTGCATTAACTAAGAAATGTACAACTATTGTGTTAACTAACTGTATTGTTAAATTTTAGTTATTTGTAAGTATATTTTAATTTAAGCCTTAGTTAGATGTTTCCGTTTCATAAATTAATACTCCTACTCATACTTTATAAAAAAAAATTCAATGACATCAATTTTAGTCGTCCTATTCAAATAAAATAAAAGAACTTTGTGAGTAGTATATTGCTTATAACAATGTCTTTTACTCAAATAATTAAATTTAAATATTTTCGAATATATACATTCAAATTTTTTTGTAGTATCAGTTTGGTTTTCTCAGTTCTTAAATATTGGAAACTTCCCGAATTTAAATAATGTAGAAAAAATAATTTAGAACAATTAATCCTGAATTTTTTTTTTTTAATTGATCACATATTATATAAAGCTGAGCTGACATAAAATTAAAAGCCAATTTGTATTGTTATGCTTTAATATTACTTTTTAGAATTTTTTGTAAATAAATCAAGCTTTTTAGTTTTATAAGTGTGAAGTTATGATTGTAAAATACATTTATAGGATACAATAAACATTCAGTGTAAACTGTATTCTTCAAATCATTTAAATTCAAACTAAAACAAATTATTACTAATTAAACGACTTGTCTGAATGTTTCAAAGTGTATTCACTGTTTCTATTTAATTTTAATTAGTATTTCAATCAATATTGAAATGAAAAACGGTAGTTTGCTTATTAAAGACAATGAGTATTTAAGATTAAAATACTTACAACCGCTCATACCCTCATATTGTACACACTATACATTAATATTATCTCATTTCATTGACTCTTACGTTTTAGGAGCTTTAGGAACAAATACAACATTATATTTATGAAAGAGAGAGAGAGTATAAAGATTTTATCAACGTTTTTGATAAATATATCCTGCAAGGATTATTTATACATTCAACAGTTTAAATTATTCAACGTTTACTGTTTATTATTGCGAGAGATTTGTATACATTTGAAAAAGATAAATTATGTTATTATTAATTTTTTACAAATATTATTTTTTTCAACTTTTATTTAATGAACTCATTTAATTTACAAAAGTGAATTTGTATATTCATTCAATATCATAAACTCATGTGAAATACTGGTTTTAAATAATTTTATGAAATATCCATAATATACAATACCTTTATCCTTTACTACCTTTATTATCGTCTTGTGTGGCTTTTTCGTTTTACTCTAACTGGTTTGCTCTAGTATGCTGGTAGTAGTCTATTATATTGTCTTACCCGAGACATTTAATATTCTTGAAACATTATACGTTATACACGTGTTTTTAAATAAATAAGGAAGGGATGATGGTACGACGTTAATGTTTTGCACGAACTGTGTTGAGCGTCATTTATATACGACACTCATCATTCAAATAATTATTTTGTAAAGTTTATTCTCTTAATTTTAATTATTTTTGAAAACATTTAAAAGTATTTTATTTTTAATTATTAAATAATTTATTTTCTGCCGTATATTCATCAAAGTGATACATATTTATCGTGACTGAGTCGTTGGTGTTTTTATGTACATTACATTTGGGTTTTGGTTGCAGACTTTACTGCTGAACAATACGTTGTGTACCTTTATTGAAGACTGTTGCTGTTCACTAACCCTATCACTTTACTCCAAATGAAATACAAGTTCAAGTAATCTTTTTTGTTTATGTTTACAGACCAAGCATGTAACCGTGAATAGTCCACTGCCTCTGTATGCCACAAATATGATGTACGATCCTCACAATTATACGCAGTAGATAGTTGCGATTCAGTATTTTTGTGCATGATTTAATGATTATTTTTAATAGTATTAAAATAATTATTGTTGTTGAGCAAATTTATAAACTTTGTGTCGCATGTTGTATAATGCATATTTACATTAATTTAAAAGACTGTCAGAGCTTTAAAGTTTTATCATATTTTTAACGATCACTAAGAAAATGGTAATTTGGTCACCGTTATTATTTTTAGCGCTATGGATTTTACTGTAAAGCAAAACTGTAGTTGTGAAATAAGATTTTATTCAATCTTATTTCAACTCTATAACACTTAGTTACTTGATTTAGTTACGTCTATAATGAATGTATAAATAAATGTAGCACTATAATAATAACACTGTTCATATTCGCTCAAATATCATCAAAAATTCTGTTTACAAGAAATGGTATCATCTGTTATTTTTAAAGTAATTTTATTTATACAGTATAAACTTTGTTATCAAAAATTTATGTTTCTATATTATTTTAAACGTAAATTACATGAAAATATGTATAAATAATATACAAGAATATTTTATTATTATTCTATGTAATCTTATTTGAATTTAATCACGTAGGTTAAATACTTTTTAATTATTTATAGTCTTATAATATTTTAATTTGTAAGGATTGATTTTTATTTCAATATTCATTCCTGTAAATTTGTAACTTGATGACTTTATTGTTTCTATTTAGCTGCGTAAATAAATTATTTTATTACTTGAGGTGTATGAAGTGTAAGTGTAATTGGTATTAGTCTATTTTTGTAAATTTTTCAGTAAAAACACAGAGTTATAAATTCTTATTCCTTTTATAATAAAACAAAATTAGGCATTTCAGTATTAGCGAGATGAAAAATGTTTAACTGAATGGATTTCGTCATTTAATAAAACTGCTAATGAGCTATCAAATATATCCATAGAATCAAAATCGAAAAAATGGAATAATACCGTTTTCCTCCTGTATACTTAATTTTAATAAAACTAACGTATCATTAAGTTTTCAATGTTGCTATGGAACTCTGCTAATACATTTAATTTTTCCTATGAAATAAAACATGTTTTTAAACAATTGATTTTAAATCCGTTTAAAAGAGTTGCACTACACTAAGCGTCCACAAAAACATTAAAATGAGTATCATTCGAGAAGTATAAATTAAGAATAATTTATGTAAATGTATTTCGATAAAAAAAGAAGATAGCTTGTTTTGACGGGTTCATTTAAATTATATATTGTTTATTTAAAAAAAAATTACAGTTCCTATATAAAATATATGTCAAGGTATAATGATAGCTACCAAAATAGATAAATGACAAAAATTTGGGTTTAACTAAACCCAGTTTAGACTACCAAAATTTGTTTGTTATACTTAAGAGTACCTTATTCTACTGCTTTTGTTTTTAGTTAAAAATCAACAATAAAATGCGATTCTTATTGCGGTAACTATTTATACTTGATTCAAAAATAATATTTTGTATTTAATATTGATAATAATTTTGAAAACAAATTAATTTTCAATAAAAAATAATTTTTCATGTAAACAACAAAAATTTAATATTAAATTTTTAAAATTAATCTATTTATTTCAGTCTTTAATTTTATTTAAATTATAATTTATCTGAATTATTAAATTTATATAATACATTAATTTAAAACTGCAATGCTAAACTTGGAATTATCATTTTTTAACGTTCTATAAACATAACAAACTGAGTTCTTTTATTTATCATAGTTGAAAATTAAATGATGATTTTTAAGTGAAATTTTCTATAAAAACATTTAAACTTAAATTGCATCTAGTAAATTTTGTAAAAAAAAATTATATGTATGATTTACATAGTTTTAATAATTATATAATGTGAGTCAAGTATATATTCGGACATCGTATAGGAGATTATATGATAAATATTGATCACTCGAGGTTAATATTTTTTAAAATTCTAAAAATCTTTGATTTTGATTGTTATGATTTACACTTATGATTAATTCCTGGCGTTTAGGGTTGTTAGTTAAGATAAATCAAGTTTTTTCTAATAATTAAGCTGTATTCTTAAACTGTAATAATTATATAATAAGTCATATATTAATAATTCAGTTCTAGAACAGTCCATATAAAACAATTTTCTTATTCTATAATATTAATAAAATTGAATAATTAAAAACGTGTCGTTTTAATAAAAATAATTAAACATTTAAATCAGTGATTGAAAAAGTTATTTTTTTAAAATTTTAACATTTTATTCAATAAAATCATATTTTCTCATTACGTATATAAAAATTATAAATGAATATATGAATATATATATATATTATTATTATTATGTTACATTTTTATAAAAAAAAAAAACAGCGAGAACTTAGTTATGCACTTAATATTTAGTTTTAATACTTTAGTTTTAAGCTGCTACAATTATATTATAACAGGCGCAAGAAGTGTGCGTAGTGTTCCTCGTTCATGGTTCTTTTTTACCTAAAAAACATTTTAAGAACCACCAAAATTGTTTTGCACTAGGTCCCGCAATTTCTAACGCCCGCTCTGTAGTTATGATATATCTTACTATATGCCTGTAAGCATTTTAAATGTTTGTGTAGTTTAGGTGGGTTTGATAATTATCAAATGATATAATTATAATCATACAAACTGTTAAAATTGTTACTTCTTCTTTTAATTACTATTCGTGAACAATTTTTTACATTCAGTGACTTAACTTTACTATATCCGAAAAAATTGTTTTATAGCGTTCATGAAGCCGCCGAGATTATGGAAAGTGATACAACATATGCTGCAAGAAAAAAAGCTTATAGGCTACCTTTATTTATAGTGGCTTCTTCAATTGCATTTTTCGTTCTACTTTGTATGATATGTCTGTTCTTTGTTTTTTATCCGACGTTGTGTCAAAATAAATCAAACTACCTAGGATCCACTGAATATATTTTGGATGAAATTCGAGGAGTAGACTACGAAAGATTAGAAAGTAATACTGGAACTACAGATGTTAGATTACCCACAGTCGTAGTCCCTGATTCCTATAATTTAAGAATAGTGCCGTTTTTATGGGTTGGAAATTCTACATTCAATGGCCAAGTTAGCATTGTCGTCAATGTCACGGCCCCCATAAATAGTATTACTCTACATGCCGTCGACTTAAATGTGACGGAATGTAAAGTTTCAAGGTATGATATACTTCCATTATTTTATTTCATATTATGATTTAGTGAATCAATTTTTAACTAATTAATAACATTCGCATACCTATTACTTTTAATTGATGATGTATAAATTTATCATTTTAAGGTTTCCAAGAATAGTCCCTGATGAATATATTAAGGATGATAATAGTATTTTTGTAAATATCGAAGGTACTGAAATTGATGTATCAAAACAGTTTTTTATCATTAAGTTTAAGGACACACAACCTGCTGATTTTCAATACAAAATTTACATTAACTATACTGGAAGATTGCAAGATAATATGGAAGGTTTTTATAAAAGCTCATATGTAATTGGAAATATTACTAGGTAATAATTCTGTTTTAAAAGTAAGTATCACTCAAATATTGAAAATTTATTTATAATAGATGGATAGCTGCAACTCAATTTCAACCAACAGATGCACGCAAAGCATTCCCTTGCTTCGACGAGCCCGCTTTAAAAGCAAAATTTTCCATTACAATTGCTCGACCCGCACACATGAGTTCTATATCAAATTCTGGTCTTCGAAGTAACTCTAATTTACCAAGACTGTAAGTAAAGTAATATTCGTTTTAAAATAAATCTAACTTGACAATTTAATTATAGGCCTGGATTGTTGTCTTTTTACGAATGGGACGAATTCGAAGAAACTGTTCCTATGTCAACTTATTTGGTAGCATTCGTTATATCTGATTTTGAGTACTTGTCTTCAGAGACTTTTAGAGTATGGGCTAGAAGTGAAGTATTACAACATACCAATTATGCTCGAGAAATAGGCCCTAAAATACTCAGATTTTATGAAGATTTCTTTTCTATTCCTTATCCTTTAAAGAAAATCGACTTGATTGCTTTACCTGATTTTGGTGGTGGTGCAATGGAAAACTGGGGTTTAGTCACATTTAGGTTTGTTTAAAAGAAAAGTTTGTCTTGTGTTTGATAATACTAAATTATTCATACACGTTTTCTTCAGAGAAACTCTAATGTTATATAATGAAGGCGTATCATCAAATTTACAAAAAGAACAAGTTACCACAGTCATTGCACATGAGTTGGCTCATCAATGGTTTGGAAATTTGGTAACTGCTGATTGGTGGTCGGATTTATGGTTAAATGAAGGTTTCGCTACTTACATTGAATACTTAGGTGTTGACCATGTAGGTTAAGTACTATCTTTTGGTTGTTTGTTTAGTTTTTTATTAATAAAATAACTTTTAAACATAAAGTTAGAACCTTGGTGGAAAATGGACGAGCAGTTTGTTTTGAGTAGCATACAGAGTGTATTTTTCATGGATTCGTTGAAATCTACTCATCCAATATCAGCACGTGTGTCAAAACCGGAAGAAATCAATGAAATATTCGACCGTATTTCCTATGATAAAGGTGACTTAACATAATTTATTGTTTAAATATGAGATTTTTTTAAAATATAGTATTATTTAGGGGCATCAATAATACGAATGATGGATCATATATTAACTAGACAAGTATTTCGTAGAGGGTTAACTAAATATTTAAGCTCGAAGTAAGTACTAAAGCAATTCATATTTCTTTATATAGCTCGTATGAATCTTAATGTACTGCCGTTATAAAACGGAATTATAATTATAAAAATTAATTTTTGCCATATTTGAAAAACCAAATAATTCTATCAAAAATATTTTAGTGATTTTGAAATTTTATGCGTTCATAAACTGCTATTTTATATTGATCTTATAGTTGTAACATTTTAAAAACAACAATGGCATCTACTCTTTGATTAATGTTTGTTTATACAGTGTCTCAGACCCAACTTGCAGTGTTAATAACTTTTGATACAATTATCATTTTATTCAATTTATTTTTAAATAATTATTACCTTTATAAACATGCTTAAACCATATATTTTTATTAATTATTACTAATAAAATTTTCTTTTCAAATTCTAAAAAAAAAAAAACATTCTTTAACCTTTTTTATACAAAAAATATACAAAATAACTATTTTAGGACATGTGCTCATCGAGTTAAAAGCATTGTAATACATTGAATTGGTATGGAACGCAGGCAGAGTATATGTACACTAGTACAAGTTTCACCGATCCTCACTATAAACCCAACTCGGTGATTACTTTTCCTAAAATTATTATAGACCCATCAATATTTTTTGTAACAAAAGGGCTAAACAAATAGCTATTTTGAAATGTTGAAAAAATATTTTTTTCTTATTAAAAATAAATAATAAAAAAATGCTTTTAAGCTAAGAAGGGAATATATATTTAAAAAACATTTTCAACAAAATGATAACTAGATCAAAATTTATAAGTGTTGTCAGTTAAATCTGAGTCACGCTATATTCATACATATGTGTCTATTTTTTTTATTAGGTTATATAAGAATGCATGTCAAAATGATTTATGGCAATCTTTAACCGAGGAAGCTCAAAAAAGTGGAGTATTGGATTATACGTTTACTATAAAAGATATAATGGATACCTGGACATTACAGCCAGGTTTTCCAGTCATTAATGTCACCCGAAATTATAATTCAGATTCATTAATAGTTTCACAGGTTAATTATTAGACAAAAATTCACTTAAACATATTCGGAGAAGTATAAAAATTCATATAATTTTAATCATTGTAGAGTCGATTTGTTCTTTATGATCCTAAAAGTTATGAAAGAAATGATAAATCAAGTTTTCTTTGGTGGATACCACTTACGTACACTACTGCTTCAAAATTAGACTTTTCGACAACTAAACCTTCCCATTGGTTTAAACCACAAGAATTTATGATGTTGACTGAAACTGGAGTGTCTTCTAAGGACTGGGTTTTATTTAACATTAATGAAACTGGTTTTTATCGTGTAAATTACGATTTGAAAAACTGGGAAATGCTGATTAATTACTTGAATGACCCAGAAATGTTTTCAAATATCGGTATTATTCAATTTCATTAAAAATATACTAGATAATAAAAAAAAAAAATTATTTTCTAGGAACTATTAACCGAGCCCAGTTAATCGATGACGCTATGTCTCTTGCGAGAGCTGGATATCTTAGCTATAAAACATCTTTGGATATGACTAGATATCTGTATCATGAAACAGAGTTTGCTCCTTGGAAATCCGCTTATAGATCATTTATTTACCTACACCAAATGCTTATAAAAACTCCCGCTTATGACAAATTAAAGGTAATATTGTTAGTTATCTCCAAATCAATATAAATAGAGTTTTATTTTTTCAGGCATATGTTTTACATTTAATTACTCCAATGTATAAGGAATTAGGCTTCACAGATAGTACAAGAGATGATCAGCTAACAATTTACAAGAGATTTAATACTCTATCGTGTGCATGTGAATTGGGACACATTGATTGTATTCGTAATGCAGTGGTTCAGTTTCAGAATTGGAGATCAACTCCTCATCCTGAAAATAATAATCCGTGAGTAAAGAATGTTCAATAAACAATTTAATTGTTATCTAAATTAACATTCGATTAAAATCTTCTCAATTAGAATTTCACCAAACTTGAAAGCAATCATTTATTGTGTAGCGATTAGCTATGGTGGTGAAGAAGAATGGGATTTCACTTGGAGTATGTACAAATTGACTAAAACTGTGTCAGAAAAAGATTTGTTATTAGATGCTCTAGGTTGTAGTAGAGAAACATGGATTTTGACTAGGTATTTAGAAAAGTTGAATATTTTTTTTTTATTATTATTTAAGAGTATTTTTTTCCGAACATGTGAAAGAGGGCCATCGCCCACTATGATGTAAAATTGATCTTTTCATTCAAGGGTATTTTTTATCATAGGTTTCTTGACTATGCTTTGCAAAATAACTCTATTATTAAAAGTCAAGATTTATCTAAAGTTTTTTACGCATTGACTAATAAAATAGCTGGACAAGAAGTTGCATGGAATTATGTGCGTGACAATTGGCGTACTCTTAAATCCTCGTAAGACAGATGACAATACACAAAAACTAGATCTCATGTCTCACTCTATTTTTTTGTATTGACGTTTTTTAGATTATCGTCGAGTTTTTCGGTAATCAGTGAAATTGTAAAATCAGTTACCCATCATTTCAATACGAAAAATGATTTGATTGAGGTATATAACAGAAATATTTTAATTAATGTCTTTAAAGCTGAAGATTTTATTTTAAATTTTCATTTTGATTCTAGTTATGGCAATTTTATAAAGATCAACAAGATCACTTAGGTTCAGCTAGACGAAGTGTAATGCAATCAATTGAAAACGCGCAAGCAAATGTTGATTGGATGAACCAAAATTACAAAATTATCTATAGTTGGCTGCAAAATACGACTCAACATATATCACTAGATAATATTAAAATGGATTAAATTGTAATAAAATTTTTCCGATTAGACTGTAAATAAATATTTTGATGTAAACACTAACTATTTCGGCGATATTTTGCCATTTAATTCTTAATATTTTTATCGTCTTAGAGACTGTTTTTATTTAAATTTTTTTCTGCGATTTATTTGCAATATTTATGACTTGATGTACCTATTTGATAAAACTTTTATTATTTTTAATTAAGCTTATTTTAAATGCGAACAATGTTTTTAAAATTTTTATTATTATTTAGTCTTATTCCACGTTATATTTTAAAATATTTAATACCAAGTAAAATTATACTTTCTGTGTGTAATACCTGTATGTATTAAAAATATTATTTTTATTTTATATATACCGAGATAGGTAGGGAAAAAATAGTATATACTTATATTTACCTTAACCAGTAATTACTATATCCAATATAGTATATAGTGTGGTAAGAATTTTAATATAACTCCTATGGTAATTTTGGAGTGGCTTTAATCAAAATATTTTGAATAATTGACGACTAAAAATTAGAATTAAAATCAATAAGTGATTACATATTTTCGTTTTAGACGTCTCCCTTGAAATCTTCTATTTTATTGAGACGTAACACTTGTGTTGTAATGGTATTCCACTACCGATTCACCTAAAATAATTAGCTGTCAAGTTTATTTAAGGTTTTGTCCTTTTCTGAAGTTAATATATTTTTGAAATAATCTCAATGTAAAATATTAAGTTTTAATTCTGATATAATTTCATAATTTAATTTACTTAAAAGGAAATGCAATTTCATTTCTTTAGTCAACAATTTAAATAACAAAAATTTAATTCTAATATTACATTTATATATATTTTTGATAACAGAAGAATTATTAAAAAATCGTTTTTTTTAATAATTCTTAATTTTTAATAACTGGAAACTAATATTCGAGCAATAACATAATAAACCTTCCACGTTTTGGACATTATTATTGTGTACAAAGGATTTCACTTAATTAAATTATTATTTCTATAAGTTAATATGAAAGTCAACTCATACGATTTGATGAGAATTAAAAAATGTTTAAAACATAAAATCAACGAATATGAATATACAAAAAAAATATTTAACCGATGATTTTTAAGTACGTGGTCGTCTATCGAAAAAACAATATGTGGTTATTATTATATAGATTTCATTCATGAACTACATACGACATTACGCCCAAAGACGAAACTATAAATTTTAATGAAATATGTATTTTAAAATAATGATTGTTCAAAATTGTATTAGATATAGCAATTTAAAAGTATATTTAATTATTTTACGTTAAAATATATTAAGTGATTGAGGCAATAGGCATATCATTTGAGTTTAAAATATTGTAATTCGTAAAATCGAACGGTAGACAAATTGAATAATGGTACGAGATAAAAGAATAACCGGCATGATTTGTCGCTAGCATCATATATGTAAATAACCATACAATGACGTGTTACGTTATGAGGAGTTAACTATTCTTTTTAAAACCCTATTACTATGGTAGCTCACTTAGTATGAGATATTCTCCTTATTAATTAATAAGTGTTTTTAAAAAAAATTGAAATCAATAATTTTAAAACTTTACAATGATTGATGGCCTACTGGATGATGTAAAACGCATGAATAAGCGTCAAGTATGGAATTATTTTTGACTTGCATATAATAAACATTTTGTTCTAGTAATTTAACGTTCATATAATTTTTATTATATATTTTTTTAGTTTCTTTACCAAGTTTTAAGTTTTGGCATGATAGTTTCGTCAGCTTTAATGATATGGAAAGGCTTAATGGTATTTACTGGTAGCGAAAGTCCAATTGTTGTAGTTTTAAGGTAAGCAATTGTGTATTGTTGATAAAAATTCGTTATTTCCTATAAAATTTACTACTAGATCGTCATTTAACAATAATTATATAATAGACAATTTTTTTGTTAAGTTTGAATTTATTAATTATTTTAGATTGTAATTCAATTGGATAACTTAATGCTATTAGCTTTTATTGATCTTAGTATGACATCTATATATATATATTAATTTGAGAAGTTAATATATACATGGATTCTATAGTTACCAACTTTTTAAAAGATATATTAATTATTATATCTAATAAACTCGGTAGTATTTTTATTTATTTTAATATTGATATTTAAACATGACTTTTAATTAAAATTTTTTAGTGGAAGTATGGAACCTGCTTTTCATCGAGGAGATTTATTATTCTTAACCAACTATGAAGAAGAACCTGTTAGAGTGGGTGAAATAGTAGTTTTCAAAATAGAAGGACGAGATATTCCTATTGTTCATAGGGTGCTGAAGTTACATGAAAAGTAGATTTTAAATTAAATATGAATATCATTTATCATTTTATTAAAAATTGTATATTTATTTTAGAAATAATGGTACAATCAAGTTCTTAACAAAAGGTGATAATAATAGTGTTGATGACAGAGGCCTATATGCACCTGGACAAATGTGGCTTGAAAAAAAAGACATGGTTGGCCGAGCTAGAGGCTTTTTACCTTATGTAGGAATGGTTACAATTCTCATGAATGAGTATCCTAAAGTCAAAGTATGATATTTTATCATTTATTATTAATATATAATTCATGTATTCAAAATTTTAACTTAAAATGATTTTTATTACATATAAAACTATAAAAATAAGGAAGTTTATTCCTATAATGATAAACAACTTTTTCTATGAATTTTCAGTTTTTTTTTTTTAAGTGGTCTTAATTTTAACCATAACATACAAAATCTTATCCAGAGAGTAGTTCATAAAGTCTAGATCATCCCTCTCTTTTATTTTGAAAATATGAAGTTAGATTTTATAGAATTTAGACAAGAAGCTACATTTTCTTTTAAATCATTTCCCTTCAAATTAAACTCTTCGCTTGTACTTAATAATATATATCTGACATTTTATTTACACCTTAATTATATTTATTGTTCTAAATATTTTAGTTTGCAGTTCTTGCATGTCTTGGATTATATGTATTAGTTCATAGAGAGTGAAAACCTGAGGACTGTGGACTCCAAGATACAGTTTACATAAACTGAATTATTTTCTCATTTTGTTATAATTGACAAGACATACCATTGTATATTAAATTTCAAATTGAGATATTCTACCTTTCCTATGGTATCTTAATTTACTTTAATGTTTCAACTTTGAATGAAAAAATATTTTTATTATTTTGCTATTATCACTGTTAAAAATGTATCTAATATAAATAAATTTATGTAATAATAATGTTTTACCACTAAATATGTTTAGTTCGTAAATTATAATGTTTAGTTTATGTATTATGTTGTACATATTCAATAAATGAATTACAAATTTTAGGGAAAAAATATTTTAATCTTTTTTAACTACAGAAGGGTACAGCACAGAAAATTATACTTAAAATTGTCTTGAGTGATTGCAAATTTCAGAAAGAGTCATGAGTTGTGTAAAAATCAAGGTGTGCATTTATGTGTTGTTTTTTTTTTTAACAAAGTCATACTATTGTAATTTTTTATATAGAATAAAGCTGTATAAAATTCTGTATATCTCCATTAAAAAATCCCATATAATTGATAAGAATTTACAGCGATTGCAAATATGATAGGTACCTATGTCACACTTGTGCTAACTAAATTAACTTTTAAGATAATACAGGGTGTTCAGTAAGTCAGGAAACGGGTATCTATTGTTCTCATTGTTACAAACAACGAGAACAATAGAAACCCGTTTCCTGACTTACTGAACACCCTGTATAATATTGATGCTTAATTCTTAGAAGAGTACAAACCTTTAATTCTCAAAGTTTGTTCTTTAATTAAATAAAAATTAAAGCTACCTAATAGGCTTGTTTTAGTAGTTTTTCAAAATTATAAAAATTAGTTAAAGTATGAGAGCTTAATAAGATTTAACAGTAATTTTTCAAAAAAATAGTATATTGATTTTTATAATTTCCTGTGTGCAAAACATAAAATATTTATCAATAAATATATTTCTGAATTAAAAGATATCAATATTTTTATTTTCCATTTTTTAAACTTATATCCAGTTACTAGAAAAATTGACTTCTTAAATTCAAATAATTATTTATATATTTTCATTCATCTTAAAGTTATTTTTATTGGTACCTTTTCAAGTTTACATATAATGAAAGCTAATCTTTAGAAGTAGCATCTCCAATAAAATGGTTCTATATAAACTGAAATGGACATCCATTTATCTAGTGATAGATAAACTATCTACCCTAAAGGTATACATTGGAATGAAATTTCTTATGAAGGTTCCATTATTACAAAAAAAATGTTTGTCAAATATTGAGAAGTCATATTTTATACACATCAAGGAATGCATCAATTTTTAAAGTTTTTATATACTTAAAGTTAAAACAGTATTCTATTTTATAAATAAATTGTCATGGTAAATTATTTTATTTAATAAAAAATATCCTAATTCTTTTTTTAATTTGGCTTATTTATTTTTTTTGTAAATTGAAGATGTCAAGTAATTATATGAATATGTGTAAATTTATAGATGTAGAAACAGCTGATGATATAATTTCTAGTAACAATGAAGTTGAATGTCATCAGTTAAAAAATTGGAAAAGGTGGCTCAAAATTAGAAAAAAACAGCAAAAATATTTAGGTTTAAAAGCAAGTCATTGAAATTGAAATTTTAATCCAGTTAGTGCTATTTACCAAAAACAATTTGTTTTTGTATAGATATGTCGCAGTATACCATCTCTATTAATGAATTGTGTAACTGATGAATATAGATCCAAAGTTGAAAATAAATGGTTGATTAATACAGCACAAAAATTAAAAAAACAAAATTTGTTCATAAGTGAAGCAGAACCAATAAATAAAGAAATAAATGAGTACACTAATGTATACATACCAGATTTGATACACTTAGAAAAAGGAACACATTCGAACAGGAAAAATGTTACTGAACATTTAAAATCATTTTTAGCTCAAAGTGAAATTATTGAGGAGTTAAGTTTATTAAAGTCTTTGAGACCTACAGAAGATTCTCAGTCTCTAGTTATTATTGGAAAAAAAATTCCAATAAAATCACAAGACTATAACTTAAATTGTTATAAAAGTATTCCAATAATTTCTATTGATGAAATAAAAGATGTCCCCAGTGAATATATTAAAAATCCACACATTGAGATTAAAATTAATGAATATTTAGTGAAATATATTAATAAAAATAGTACAGTAAAAATATTTGAATCTAAGTCCAAAGAATTTTCGATAAAATCTATTATGGTAAACGAAGAAATAATTGTTGACGATATTGTTATTGAAAACCATAGTGAAATTTCGATATATTACCAATGGAAAAAAGAAGACAAAAAATGGACCAAATATGACATTTTTTTAACTCAAAAATTTGATAGTTTATATTTTGATAATAGACCTGGTGTTTTAGGCCCTGGACAAACAAAAAAATTACCGGTCTTATTCAAGCCGAAAATCCTAGGACCTTGTATAGAAAAATGGAATTTTCGAGTAGATATATTGGGGAGAATCGATCCATTAGTTCTAATACAAATTTCTTTACAGGGATTTGCCACTTCTGCTACACATTATACTAAGCTTGCCAAAAAAGTATATTTATTATATTACTTACGGGGATTTGTTATATTTATGTCTGTTAATAGATAAAAATTGAATAAATGATAAGCATTACTAAATAGTTTTGACTATCAGGTCTTCGATGGATTTTTTAAAAACTATCGGATAATCATTTGATTGTTATTATCCAAGACTGTTTAGTTTTAGTCTATCGAAGTACTGGATAAAATGTTCGATAGTATTCTAATAAAAAGTACTCTATATTTTACTTAAATTACGAAATTTTATTAGGATAGTCAATAGTATTCAATAATGTTAATCATCATTCAAATAAAATATTTATTATTTCATTTAGTTGATTTAACCCTCATATTATGCTGAGTGGTTAGTAATCATATTATTTATGGTAGTTCGGTGCTATATATAATGTATGTTATGTATGCTTTATACAAATGTACTTAAGGTTTTTATTTGAACTGTTGGGTTGGTTAACGCCAACCAATTTTTTAAGATTTAATTGAAAAATTAAATACAGTGATTTCCCAATTGGCTTCTGTGCTGAGTATGTAAATAGGATACAATATTTTAAAATTACATAAACAGCTTAAAATTTTGGAACAGGTTCAAACTTTTTTTTTTATTTATGTGTATTTTTATACCAAAAATAATATAGGAGAGAAAAATTCAATTTAACCCCCTTTCCAATTCTTTTTATAAATTTACACCTATGAACTCTCACCTATGAATTATCTTTAATCCTACACTCCTACAGTAAGTTAAATGTATATTTTTACAATTATAATGTTATAATATTTTCAGTTAGAGAAAACAATTATTTACTCCCAGGGTACGATAGCTTGTGAAGACATAACAAAAAAAATCGTTCAAAATACTTTCTCCGAAACCAATTTACATTTGGTAGATAGATGGTACTATGGTAATTGCAAAATTAATATGTTATATAGCAAATTACATGCTGAAAAAAATCTACAAATCTCACAAATTATGTTTAAATGCATGGGTCTTGATGAATTATCTAGAGACAAATATTTTGATTTAATAAGTTGTTCAGGCATGATATTATTGAAAAGAGAAATTATACCAGGATATACCAAAATGACACACCGTGAACTAAATGCACATAAAGCTATGTACATGACTTTGAACATTATGGATTTAATATTGAACATTTACGAACATGACTATGCGGAGGCATGTCTTGAAATAGAAAATTCTTACTATGAATCAAAAGTTAGTTCATTATAGTAATAAAAGGGCTTTAAAATAGTTTTTGTAAAAAAAAAGTTTCGGAGCTAATATAGGGCTACAATTTCTGACTAATTTTATAGAGAATTTCTAAATTAAAAATAGCTCTTCTATTTAAAATATTGCTTTTTGGGAGTAACGTATTTTTTCCAGTCAGTATGTGTTTAACATTAATGATGGTAACGTTGTTTCCGAAATACATATCCGTGATTTATTAGTAATTTTTTTTTTTTGTGATTTTTTGAGTTTAATATATTTTAGTTTTAACTTTAAATAATATTAGACACAAGTGATCGATTTTTATTATATATTATTTCTATCATTTAACATTATTTTGAAAACCATTTTTCAAAGTGATGAGAAAAAAAAAGAAGTAATTAACTTAGAAAATTACGCCATATACTATAAATGACCAACTTTTATGGGTAATATTTTAAAATATAATAGATAATTCTTCAGATTAAAAAATTATCTATGTTGAATATGAGAATATTAACTCTTAAAATACTAATAAATATTTATTTTATGCTTTCTGATCATTTTTGTTAGGGCATTCCATAATAATTCATAAAAATTTAATTTACATTGCCAATTCAAAGTTTTTTCAGCATTTATTTTAAATAATGAATAACTAGGAAACGGGTTAATTTGTTAGTAATACTGCAGACATTTTTTAAAAGCTTTATATGTTTTCTACAATGTTAACTAGATTATTAATTTTTTACATATCAAAATATATATATTTTATTTATCAAAAACACTTTAGAAATCAAATTTTACATCAGAGTCCAATGAGCGTGTTAATAGTCTTAATAAATCATCAATATCTAGTGCAGGACATTTGAAATACAAAACAGCTTTAAGAAAAGAATGGATTGACGAAATAACGCCTATGATTGCCAAGAGACTAGAATTGGCGATTTCGAACATTGTAGATAACCATTGGTGGATACATTGTTGTCATGATATGTCAGATCAAAAATGAGATCAAACTTCATAAAATCAATCAAGCATGATTTTAATAGATATGCAAAGGATTGTAATTATTTTCTTCGTTGATATATAGAACAAATATAAAAAATTTAGATGTTTTTTTAACTTCTTGTTGTAAATTTTCGGTATAATCAATTATTACATTTAATTATATATAGTTTTCATTTAAATGAGTGAATAACTTGGCGCTGAAATAGTCAAGAATTACATAGCACTATTCAAGGTATTTTAAACATATGATATATGATAAGCTATATTGATAACAATATTATTAATTATTGTTTTGCTTTCTTGAGCCAAGCACTACCAACTAGGCTCAGTTTTCAATCGAGTTGTGCGTTGTGAATATTCACAGAATTTTATTATTGTTGGACCAATAATTTCTATGTATAATAAAATGAGTGTTTATTTTATAACAGTGTTTTTATTCCAATTTTAGTTAATTTTGTTACACAATTATTAAATAAACATAATTACGGTCCTCTACAATTATTTTCGATATTTTGTTTGTAATGATTCGAAAAGTGTATTTGTTGATTTTAATCTTCACAGTTATTCTGCGGAGTTATTGTGATGGTGAGTCATACTTAACTTGACGCAAACATATTTATTATATTAATGCAATTATTTATTTAAATTATATCATATTTAGTACATTTAATGTACATGTACATTAAACTTTTCTTGTTTGTAATTATAGCTGAGAATAGTTATAAATTGTTGTTGATTGACAACAGTCCAGTGACTACAGGAGCTACAGTAACATTAAATGCTACTGTAGTCAATCACAATGGTGTATGTATTCCTGATACATATACATTTGCTTATGAAGATGATGCGATGCCTGTTCATAGGTTTAAAGTAAGTGATTTGTATTGTTGAAACAAATTTTTGTAAATATTTTGCCATTATTAAGTTATAATTTTAAACTTCTATAATTATATTATTAATTATTATTTTATAATTTTATATTCTTAATGATAATTGTAGTTACTTGGCCCTAGATATAAAATCATAAGACTACAAAAAATAAAATAAGATTCAAAAAGATTTGGTAGAGTGGTTTGTAGGTAAATTTGAAAGAATAAATATTTTGATTATTTTTAAAAAACTGTTCTACTTAGTTCTCATTACTAAACTACAAATTACTCATTACTAACTACAAATTTCAACAAAAATTGCTCTTCAAACTTTAGAAAATTAAAAAATTGCTATTTAATGATAAAAACACTAAAATTGAACAAATTACTTTCATATATTTGTAATTTGTCTGCTTTGTATTATTTTCTTACTCAGCAATAGATTGCATTGACCACAAAATACATGTAAATGGATTATCATCCTAGTCCTATTTATTATTAACAATTTAAAATTGTCTAATTGATTTAAACATTTTTAGACACAAATCAAGTCATGTGAAGCTATTTTTTATATACCATTTGATGACAAAAATGGTCCATCAGTGTATAGATACAAAGTGGATGTTTCTCGGGAAATTATGCCTTTTATAAATCTTCCAATTGTTAATGATCGAAAAAAATTAATAATAACAGGTATATAAAATTTTTAGAATCTTTGTTATTAATTATGTTTTATGTTGTAAATAACATTTTTAGAAAATTTGAATGGTCAACTTCAGCTAATTCAAAATAATAATACTGTTGGTAAAAACTCAGCTCAATTTTCATACATTTCAACTGGTTATGAAACTGTACAAAAAATTGTACTTAATCAAGCTGATTATGATTACTTAAATAGTACTGCTAATAATACCTTGGTTCATTGGTTTATTGATTGTATTTACCAAGGAAATTCTACTGATTTTTCTTTAATTAGTAACTATACAAAACCTGATGTTGAGCATGAAATTCTTGGTATTGTAGTTGCATCTATGAAATCTAATAATACTAATACAACCACCACTACACCTATTGTAACAATATCAAATACTAATTTTTCTTTAAATTCTACATTGTCAAACAAGTCTAATATCAAATTATCTCATCTTCCAATCAATTCAACAAATAATGCTATTTGCAAAAAAATAAATAAACTCAGTTTATTAATGTCAGCTGTTCAAATCAATGCAAATCAAAAGTATGGTTATTTTAGTCGTTCAATTCTCGTGAAAGGTAAAAAAAAATGTATATATATATATATATATATATATATGTATGTTTTTAAATCTGCTGTTACAAAAAAATATTTTTTTTAATGCTACAAACAATGTTTTTAGAACCAATATCGAATATAAAATCTGAAGGTAAAGTATGGATTAAAGAAGGTGACTTATTGAAATTGCAGGTTAGTTAAGATTGTTCCAGAAATAAAGAAGTTACCCTTTAATTAAGTTAGATTATGATTAATTAATCATGTATCATTAGGTCAGTTGTAATGGAAGTGGCCCTTTTAAATACTGTGCACATTATGGGGAGGGCCCATACAATGTAACTGGGAATGAAACCTGCTTATGGGAAAGAGATTTATTGTCTTGTCAAATGCATTTTCAACATTTATTCCGTGAACCAACCAACTATACCTTAGTTATAATTTTAGTTAATGATGTATCAAAGGTAGTTACACCCATTGGGATAAACATTTATAAAGGTAAGAAATTCATTATTTAGTATTTTACGGTTTTTCAAGGATATAAGACTTACTCATTAAGCTCAATTTAAAATGTATTGAAAAGGTAAACAATGAGTTATAGTCATTTGATAATGTAATAAATAAGAATTTCTGATAGGATATTAAATATAATATGTTTATATATATTACTATCACTAGTAATAAAACTATAGTAACTCTTGGTTATATAATACTGTAAAATTTTTATAAAATAAACTTCCATTTATCAAAATATTTTTGAGAACCATTTTCTTCATAGTTAATATTCTTATTTTTGTCATTTGTTACTATACTATTTTAAATTTAGCTAGTTGTTTACTTAACTTTTATTTTTGTTGTTTTGTAATTTATCACTGGAATTTAAAAAAACTATTTCAAAAATTAGGAATCTTTTGTAATAAGTTTTGGATTTGATAGACTGAAGCTAGAGAGGCTCGTAGAAAACATTTACCTAGTGAAAATCATTAAGTTTGAGATGGATATGTAGATATATGATATAAATTCAACTAGTCGTTTCCTGCAGCAGTTATTTTTTTTCCTCGCCTTTATCCCAATTACTTGGGGTTGGACACCCTTATCTTAAATTTCCACTAGACATAATTTCCCATATCATTTACGCACACACCAACCATCTTTATATCATATTCAATAACATCCCTTTTACAAAAAACCCAGCACAGGGGGGTCGCGGCACAGTGGTGACGTAGCATAATTGGATCAAGTATAATGATATCTGACAGTGATTAAAATCACTATAAAAAAAAACGTTTCAAAATCTTTAGATAGTGTTTAATTTAAAAAAATGGTGGATTATTCCAAAAGCTACATGATCTGCTAGTTCCTTATTAATATTCTGATTAAGATAAAGTATGTCAAATGAAAAAGGGATTATTAAAAAATATTATTTCTCATAAATAAATTGTGTTGATCCATACACTTTTCAATAAGTTATAGCATTATAAAGTTAAATCCTCTTCTGTAGGCAGGTAAAGAGTCAGATTTATAAAAAAAATATACCAAATGATAGTTAAAGACATCAAGCATACATAAAAAAAAATTATATTGATTTGGTTATTTTTAAAAAAGTTATAGCAATTTCAAGTAAAAAAAATTTCGAAAATTAGCGATTTTTAAATTTATATTTTTTTTGGAGGTGTCCCCCATTTACGGGAAACAAGGGAATTTTTTTCAATTTTTGAGGGTAATGTCTTTGACTAGATACGATTTGTGATCTTTTGACGTATCATTGAAAGAAATCGGTTTGGTGAGAGCTGAGAAAAAGTGGTAACAGACATAAAAAAAAAAACACATCATACTAAAACTAATACCTTCTCAGCTTCACATCGAAGCTAAAACTGGCTTCATCATTGACTATCCAGGCAAAAAACCAGACTAGTTTTTGTTACTGATGTTTCTCTTCTTATTCTTTTGTCTATTATCTTTTCCCAAATTTCCTTACTATGACTCATAAGCTGTATGCCTCTATAATTTTCACACTCTTGTATGTCTTCTTTGTCTTTAAATATTAGCACCATAATACTATTCCTCCATTCTTGTGGCATTTTCCTTTTTAATAGTATTTTATTAATTTTTAATTTTATTCTTTATCATTGATGCTACAACCTATTATACCTCTTTCTCACTGATTAAATTTATCAGTACCTCGTTCCATAAGATATTTTCTGTCTCTTTTGGACATTCTTCATTCAGTAATTTTTCAAAATACTCTTTCCACATCATCACTCGTTAGCACCCTCTTATCATCATTTTTTATACACCTTACATTGTGATAATCTTAAGACTGTTTTTTCTTACTTTTGCAAGTTTGCAAACTTTTTTTTTATCTACTTTGTTCCTAGCTCATCATACTACTCATCATATCTCTTAAACTTCGCCTTACTTATCCCATATTAGGCTTATTTACAGAGTATTTATACTACATCCAATCTTCTCTCCTTTCACTCTTTTTCCCTTTCAATTTCTACAACCGGATCCTCTATTCTCCTTCTATGTTATTTTTGTTTTTGTATACTCTCTTTCCAATACACCATATCTCTATTACCATCTTATATTGTTTTGTATTTAAATTCACATCCGGAATAACTTTACAACCTATTACTTGCATTACACTCTCTCTTACACATATAATTATCAACCTGAAATCTTTACTCCCACTCTTATAAATCATATAATGTTCTTCCCTCTTACTAAAATAAGTATAAATCATAGCAAGATTACACGATACTGTAAAATACAGGATAATTTCTCCAGCCATATTCTTCCCACTCAAACCATACCATGTACTCTTTCATATCTTCTCCTCTCATTAATGACATATCCATTTATATTTATCACCAGGTATTCACTGCATCATCTTAGTCATTTCTCTCCAAAACATGTCCTTTTCTATTTCATCACATCCTACTTGTCATACATAGGCACTTACTACATTTAACACTTTTTTCTGTAAAATTAATTTTACAACTATAATCTTATAATTTTTCCTAACTATTCTATTATTAAACTTTTTATCTCCTCATCCATTATTATTCTTACATCATTCTTTAAATTGTTTTTACTTGAGTATAACATTTTATGACTCACCTACTTTCCTTCCACTTAGTTTCCTGCTCACAATAAATATTAACTTTTTTCCTCTTTAATACTTCTACTAATTCTCTACTACTACCAGCTAATGTACATACATTCCATATATCTTATCTTACTTTTGTCTATCTATCTTACCTATACACCAGTTTCGTTTATAGTTTAGTGATGATGTACCTTTATCATTGACACTAAAAGCATTGAGTAAGCCTGTACACATAATTGGTACAACAGTTACCACACAATTTTTTGACTGGTAAGAATTACTTTATTCTTTAGACCTCTTTCATCTCTAATTACTTTATATCCTCTCACCTGTTGTCTCCTGTATATCCAAGATGGGACAATCCACCTAAGTTCTGTTCAGGACTCTTCATATTTTTTGAAAAAATCTTACACCAGCATGTGTCAACTTGACACAGCCTCATTAGTCTCCTCTTACAATTAGAGGAGGGGTTGTGTAAGTATTCTAATCACTTTGTAATCTTTCACAGGGAATGTTTCCTGCAGCAATTAATTCCTTAAAACCCAGAGGTTTTAATGTTTTAGTAATTCAACTAATTTTTTTTTCATTCTAAAGTCACTAACATGAGAGATTTATGCCTAATATTGTTTTTCAAGTATAAATTGTAAAGAATATGGTAAAATATATTTATTGAGTTTTATATATTTTAACAAAGTTTTTTTCAACTCTATATTTAGTTGCTTGAAATTCATTGAATATTTTTTTAAAAGTCATTTTTAACAAAGAAGAAATTTCTGTTAGAATAATTCCATAAATAAAATATGTTAATTTTTTGTTAAAATCTTTGTTGTATAACAATAAATATATATTATAGTATAATTATTATAAATTTGGGCTCAGTCCCAAAATTGTATAAAATAAAATACCATTAAATGAGTCAACTTGGTGTAATCACTAAACTTAGGACATTTAAATTATATGTATTTCATCAAATAATTTTTGTTAACAATAATTTTGTGTTTCTTAACAATAATAGTAAACATTTTACTTGTGCTGTAAATTAATATGGTATAAATGATAATGTATAATTAACTGCCCCAAGTTGGTCCATTTAACAGTAATTGTTAATGTATGTTTATCCTTTTTTTTTTTTTTTAATTATAGTAAAAAAACAACCTCAAATATCTGTGATTGTTGTACCAGTAACATTTAGTTCTATAGCTATTATTATTATTGTGTTTGGAATAGCATATTATTTTCAAAACAGATCAAGGTATGTGCTTATTAATTGTATAACCTATTTTCATATTTTTTTTTTAGGCAAAACTTTTATAGAGCTATAAAAGTTTTATCTTGTTTGTATTTTACATAAATTTATTAAAAGTAATTTTATGGCTTTTTGAGTTAAATATTTTTTATATTTTTTAGTTTCAAATTAATAATATATTTAATATAGTTTTAATTTTAAATAATATTAGCCAAAAGTGATCAATTTTCATTACACAATAATAAAAATATTATTTGTAATAATATTTATGCAAATAATAAAAATATTATTTGTGAACTCGAGATAAAGAAAAACGATTAATTTTATATCGAGTTATTGAGAGCAAATCACTATTAAGTGTAATGGTAGTTTCAAGGGGAATTCAAAGTAGTTCGAGATAACAAAAAATTGAAGATAGCTACATTCAACATATTAAGAATCTACTGTATTATTATTTTGTTAATTATTGTTTAATTTTTTTCCATTTTTCTAATTAAATAAATTATGGTTCAAGATATATGGTAGAAGTAGCAGATTTTGATTTTGCCAATAACTCTGATATGGAGTGTAAGACTTTCATGGAAAGATTACGAGATGCTATAAGTCAAGCTATTAATAGGACACAAGATTATTCTGAGTATGATGGCAGTGAGGAACAAATAGGTGGTTTAGCTACCCCACAAAATCAAAAGTATGGCAGCATGCAATGACCAAAAGTTACAGTCGACCCAAATAAATGTAAGATTTGATCATAACAATGGGTTGATGAATTAGTGAATAATAAAAAAAATAATAGAAATTTTGGAGTTCCTTTGTAAATTATAAATAATTACAATATTTATTTGCATTCCAGACCTACAATTAAATTACTTTAGATGTGATCCTATCTTAGTTTTATGAATTAGCAATATATTATATTTATATTTTGTACTAATTTAAAATTCATCACATTTTATTTGAATTATAATAAAGTTTTAATCGTTTTTATTTTTGACATTTTAAATTTGGATTGAAATTTTAATGTTAGTGGTGAATATTTACTAAATATTATAGAATTATACATTTTTTTTCCTTATATTTATTGTATTATTTACCTATTAGTCTAATATTTTATTTTAAAAATATTATTATAAAAAATGATAGATATATTCATGTAAGATTTACGTTTAAATATTTTTACACTCTAATTATTCTTTATTTTATTTTTGTTGTCTATAAAAATTTTTTTATTGTTGATTTATAGTCATCAAATATAATTATGAAATGCATATCATTGATATTGCAAGTGTATCATTGATTAGTTTTAATTTTTTAGGTATATTCCTTGTAATAAATTCATTGGTTTTTTTATCTAATATTTGCATGTGATAAATTTAAATATTAAATAATGAATGTAAAATCTAATCATTTAATTAAATAATTTTATTAATAGTATAAAATTAGTATACATTAAGTAATTACCATTAAGATGTATATAGTTTATAATAAGTTTTTAAATATTATTTCATAATAAATAATAATTTAATTCTATTTAAAATACTCAATTAAGTTTAAAAATATTCACCACATAGTTGAGATGTTTTTTTTAGATATAAATTTAATTTTACTGAAAAACAAAATCTGTCATATAATTTCTTATAGTTTCAGAGTTAAACATTTTTCTACTTAATATTAAAATTTGTTTTTTGAATCACTTGAAAATTATTTAAATTTTACTTAATTACTTAATTTATTTTCCTAAAACATTAACAAAATTAGACCATAAATTAAAAGAAATACATTTCTTCTATCCTTAAATTAATAATGATTGTTAAGTTTTACTTCCATAAACAAGTTTTATATTTTATTTAGATTAATTATTTATTTAAATTTAATTTTTTTATTGTTGTACATTTAAATTTGTAAATTTTGTTATCATTTAAATGTTTTAATAATATAGTATTATGTAATATTATAGTTATATTTTTAAAAATTGTATGTGTATTTTTACTGTACAGTAACTATTTTATATACTACCATATGTATAATTTCTTTCTCAAATTGCAAATGAATACTCATACAATAATTATGTGCCAATTTCTTTTTGTAAAAAAAAATATACTAGCTCATAACTATTTTTATTTGCCTATGATTTCTTTTATATTTTTATAATTAAAATTAAAATTTTAACTACCCAATTTTAATCAGAAAATAAAATTTAAAAAGATACTTTTTCAAAAATTATATTCATTAAATACAACTATTTTGATAATTTCAGTTTTTTTTTTATATGAATGTTTAGCTGATTTTTAACACATTCAAAAATAGTATTTTTATTAAATAAAAGTTTCTGGAATAATATTTTTAATATACTTCAAAAAATCGAAAACACTGTTCCAAATTCTTTCTTAATATGTTTTGAAAAATGCTTAGTGTATTGCAATGTAAAAACAATATTTTCAATGATTAAAACTGATAGTAGTTTTAAAACAAATGTAAATTTAAAAAATAAAATTCAACTCCTAGTAATCATATTTTGTATAATTGAAACACAAGTCTCAATATAATTGATCAAAATAAAACCCAGATAATATAATAGCATGATTAAGATTTTTTGTTATTACAATATAAAAAAACACATTATATATTTGGTTGAATTCTAATAAAATATTCAAGGTAATAATTTGAATTATAATATAATACTATTTGTTTATAATACATAAGAAAGGTGCTTTTCAATGCAATGAAAACAATTATACAGTAAAAAATATAAATTAATGGATTGTTAGATTAATAATATGCAGTTAATAATCTAATATTTATAATTGTAAATATTAATATTGTAAAAATTTATTGCAATTTAATAGAATTAAATTTTATAATTTTACGAATAAATATATAAATTAAACGATGTTGTTTTTTAAAATCAATAGTTATTTTTACATGAAGCTGATAAATTTTTTTGCTAATTTAATAACAATTTGATCAGGAGAATATATAATTTATCAAATAAATAATTTATAGATTTAACAAAAAAAAAATTTATTGACATGGGAAATAATGAAAATCAATCCAATTAGTCTACAAAATCTACCCTAACCTTATAGGATGTATTATTAAAAAGTACTACAAAGTAAAAAATATATTCTATTTTACTGGGAAAGGGTATTAAAAAAATATTTTAAATTATCTTCAAAGAACAAAATACCTAGATGGAAATCAATACAAATTATAGCCTAAAAATGTTTTACATGATAAAATAAATATTTAAAAGTTGTTTAATAAACAAAAAAATTAAATAAATTTGTATAATTCAATAACTGAATAATAATTAAATTGATTTGTTAAAATTTCGCTAAAATCACTTAATATATTTTTTGTATTTATTTCCCAATAAATCATTTCTATATAACTCTTGGTGTTTAAATTAATGATACAGTTGAAATATTCAGGACTATATTCCTTATAGTAATATCCTATAGTTTTTAACTAATTAGTAATAATCTCAAAAATTAAGGGCGATAGAAAAAATCTAAATGCAGTTATTTGAAGCCCTTCAATTTTTATACAACTTTGCCATAAATGTAATAATGATTTTATAATTTTTTATAAATTCTCCAAAAAAATTACAATATTAAATTATTAAATATTAATTTCTTACTACATATAATTGATAATAAAAAAATTATTCATAAATTTTACTTCTAAATCAATTAACTACTAATCAGGAATAATGAAGGAAATAGGAATTCATTTTGCTTTTGAGATAATCTATAAATTTCTTAAAATTATACACTATCTACAGATTTGCATCGAAGCGTTTCTTATGATAGTGATATTAATTACTGTCGGATATCATCTATACTTGTTTCATTTATGACACGTCCACACTGTGCCAAGACTCCACTGTGCTACCGTTTTTTTAATTTATCATTGATGTCATTTACCGTCAAAAGTTTTTTGATATGTTAAATTGAAATTTTACATTTTTATTTTCAATACAAACCATTTTTACAGAATATGTTTTAAAATATAAGCTCTAGAAGTGGATTACATTTTTCCAATGATTCTCTGATTTTTTTCAATGTATAAATAAAATAAAATTATTTTCCGAAAGATTAAATTTTTTTATAATAAAATCACATTTATACTAATTATTGTGTATTTACAGTTTTTTTTACATATAATGCGCCTTAAACACTTAATCTATTTTATCACAATAAATTGTTATGAAATATCTCGGTGCACATAAACATAATTTTAAGATATAGATTTTATACTAGAATCAGTGGCAGATTTGATTCTTTTTTGGTGTTTTTTTAAAGAATAAAATTTACTTGGATTAAGTATCAGAGTCTTTTACCTTATATATAATATGTTGTAAAAATATTGATGTCTTTGAGAGGAGTTAAGACCTCCCGGATCCCCCTTAAATCCGCCATTGATTAGAATTACATAATAAATAAAACGTGTATATGAATGTTACAATCTAAATAATAATAATTAGTTAAATTAAAAAATTGACTTATACAACATAAAAAAATTATATTATTAATCTATATGAATAGTTATAATGTTAATTTTATTTTAAAATAAAAAATTAATAAAGGAATATGAATGCCAATTTTTATCAATCGAACAGTTAAACTTGTTAAAAAGTTTATTGTAATTTATACCTATTTTACTAGATCAAAAAAATTCGCAAATTTTGCATTGTTTCGTACATTAAATTAATAGTTAAAAAATTTGATTAATATTTACTTCGAACAGAATTACAGTTTGAGATTTTAAACAAATTGTTAAAGCTGTAAAATTACTAATGAAATACTATTTATTCTAAATAATGAAAAACAAATATTTTATTTTTAACTTTTAAATAGAAATTATTATGAATTTTTAAAAATATTAGAATTATAAACATTATTAATAAGGTAAAAATATTAGAATTACAAACATTATTAATAAGGTAAAAATATTTTAAGCTTAATTATTACATGTATACTCTAAAATCTATACTATTGTGTCAGTGACACAAGAGAACAGGATCGTTTTTAAACGCTGTACGATTTTGACCGACTGTTGTTGAAATACTACGCAGACTACGGGAACGTTCCTCAAATAGTGATGGGTCAGTGTAAATTGGTTCACTAGGGTCTTTAACAAATCCTTTATTTATGTCACCAATAACCATTTGATTCACAGTAGGATCTGATGGAATTTCTTCTTGGTGTGCCCTATGTAAGTTACTATTAATTATTATTTTACTATTATATTAATAATCTTCAACATTTTAACAAGAAATCTTTAGAACTTAGAGTGACATATATCGACTTGCAAGAAAAAAATATTTACCAAAAAGCATTTCGAAACGGCTTGCGACCGCTGAAATTCGAGAAAAAACTACGACGTCCTACAGATGAAAAAGCTCTTCCATGTCCAGTACTTTGTCTGTCATTTGTACTACTATTACAACTAGTGTTTATCATTTTTTCTTTAGTCATCAAAAGCCAGTATCGTCTGTATTACAAGTTAAAAAATATTTTCAAGTATAGTTCGAAACTTAAAGTTTAAATTTGTTATATTATCAGGGCTGGTGTAAAAAAATTAATTTGTTTACGAAACCTTTTTAAGCGGACTAATTTTGTATACCCCTTGTACTAGTTCTCTACATTATTAATTAAATACAAATCATCAAGTTGCATTAGGACGTAATTCAAATTTTCTTTTATGTTTTAATATTTTTTAAATAGTAATAAGATTATGCGTATGATAAAAGCAAAATTAAAAAATAATTGGATGACTAGATAACTCGTGTAAGTGAATTTCAAGAAAATATAAATAAAATATTTATGATTACATATAATAAAATTTAAAGGTCTTATTAATTTACATATATTACTTGTAATATATTCCAGCAGATAAGCAAACCGTAATCAGCAATGCTAAAAACATGAATAAAGTGAAGATCATACTATAATACTCTCTATTTGATAAACAAACTAGTTTCTGTGCAACTATTGCTTCTACTGAATTTTGTTGTTCCATAGTAGGCATATCATTTCGACTTTCAAAGACCTTAACAATACAATAAAGTTGAGAAAATAATAGCTTAGTATTTAAAATTGTCATTAATAAATGTGACACCTTACTTCAATTACTTGATGAACTTTTTCTTCTTCCGTTTCCTCATTAGCATCTTCTGTGTCGTTTTGGCTAACATCTCTCCGTCTACGTCCCAGTGACGTTTCTGTTCTACCTCCAGGATGTAATGAATTACAATAAGCCTATAATTTTTAAGAGACTAAAATATTTTTTTTTATTATTGTTGCAATTAAATAAAATTAAATTACAGGTTGACAAGGTTGATCTCGACATGTACGGACAGTTGCTTCAAAAACTAAAAAGTTAGATTCAGGAATCTTGAAAGCTTGGAATCTAGCTTCTAAACCTCCATCGCCATCTCGAGATTTATCCAAACCAGGAAAAACAAAATTATCAACTGGACACCTAAAATAAAATTTGTTTACATTTTTTACTTTTTTTTTCAAAAACATTAATAAAACTAACCCATAACGATCTATAAGTTGAACGCTTCGTCCACTGTATGGATCTCGAGCTACAACGTTGGTAGCAAATATATCACTATTACTACCATAGTTATTGTACCCATCTTGAGATTCTATGCGAAAAGTCAATGGATCCCCCACAGCGATAGTTTGTGTTGGTCGACCTTGGAATAAAATCATAAGTCGAACTCGAGAACTCAATGAGTTTTCGGCTGGTAAGTATTCTATTGGAATTGGACTGCCAGAACTAAAAAAAAGGTCAAACAAAGATTATAGGTCTAAAATATTAGTATTTATAATTTAATTAAAATTAAACTTTTTTACTTGGCCGTCATGTAATTGGATGTGACGACAGTCTCGCCTGGCCCTCGAAATAAACAAGTAAGATTGTAACGTTTATCTCTACTAGTTTGAACATAATCACTAAATTGTACTACAACTATATTTGTCATCATGTCACCAAACTAAAATATAAAAAAAAATAACAAATTAAATAAAATTGAATGAATAAATGTACAAGCGAAATATTTTTAGCTTTTTGAATAGCAAAATAATTTATGTACCCTCATTGTTCCGCAATCCGGATATCCTTGAGCACCTGTTATTCGCAATACATTTGCTGTACCTCCAGTTCCTCTAAAAAAACACCTGTCATAGTAACCATGAGTGTATATTCTTCCCAAAAATCCTTCTGGTGTTCTCAGAGTAAACTCCATACCATCTTCATTACAGTCTTGAGTTACTGTTTTATAAAAATCGATACATAATCAAATTATAATTTAATTAAATAGTACTAATGGCTAAAATACTTATGTTTATTTTTATAAATATTTTAAATTACCATCAAGACAGTCTTGTCCCATTCGGTTTCCTATTGTCGTCCGTTCATAAAAATCATAATCTGCATGGTTCTCGAAATAAGCGGATCCTAAATGATCGTTGGTCAAGAAACGTGATGATTCTTGATCACTAAGTTCGCAATTATGAGTGCCTCCATATAGTGGTATAATAGTTCTATATAAAATTGTTATAAGAAGATTATTTATTAGAATAAATAACTTGTTAAAAAAAAAAAAAAAAACTAAAACCAATAATCAAAAAGTTATTTACCTGAAATTGAACGACCGACAGTTGAAATCTCTTGCTAAAGCACATTCTTGTTCACAATGTGCCAACGTAGGTACGTTAATTGTACGTCTTATTAATCCTCTAGCCATTCGCATCCGTACTCCCATCTAAAATAATTAATTGTGACATTAGACACATTTATTAAATATTTTTTAATAAACAAAAACTTACAAGCACTCAAAAATAATTAGAATATTTTAACTGAAAAATATAAATTATAAACAAATAAGTGCCCAACTTAAAAAAAAAATTAAATACTTGATTTTCGTTAGATCAATGTTTATAAATTTATTTTTAATAAGATGCGCACTTGTTTAAATCCATCAGTTCCTTCATCACATCTCAATGGAGGTCTATTATCTATGGCACTGCCTCCATTAAAATATGCCGGGCCTGGCGATACACCAAATTGTGGACCTAAAGAAGAGCCAATAGCTGGCCCAAATGATGAACCTCCAAATGATGGTCCTAATGATGGTCCAATAGAAGGACCTAAAGATGATCCTAACGGTGATAAAGACGAAGGTGTATAAGGTGGTAACGATGATCCAACTATTCCAGGACTAGAGCCTGCATAAGAAGGAACGTTTCCATGAGTTGCCCAATAAGCTGATCCTCCTCCTCCAGATGGACCTCGTACATCAAATGGTTGTTGACTGACAATCCCACCAACACCTCCCATATTACCAACGCCACCGTTTCCAACATAATGTGGGTAGGATCCTCCTCCATATATACCACCAAATCCTACAATAAAAAAAAAATAAAAATAATTTTATGTTTATTTTTATCATAAAATAAAGATTACCGCTAATAGGTGGCTTAGCTGTATACGATGGTAATGGTCTACCACCGTTACCTAAGAAATTTGATCCTTGCTCAAGAGGGCCAGGTTCTGTTGGTCTTCCAAGTGTTGGATTGCCTTAAAAATATATGATTAACATTTGTTTAAATAATCATGAATTTTAACAAAATTACTTATTAAGTTTTCGTAGTAATCATAATCTGCATCATATATCACCCGATGACCATCTCTTTGGCTAAAACGACTTAATCTACAAATACGGAAACGCTCGCTATAAACTGCTGATCGGCATTGGAAACTAGCTTGACGTAAACATTCATCTAAGCATTCACTCAACGATTTTCCTGTAATTTCTGAATGAAATTCGCCACCTAATCGACTATTTCTATATCTTTGGAATGCTGTGTCTGGTCTTCGGCCTCCGTCAGCAAATAGATAAGGCGTATTATCTGAAAATTCTTTTTCGGGACCTTTGACAAAATCACCAGCACCTGATTAAAAGCCCTGTGAAAACACTCGTGATAGAAGACACTAATTAAAATTGTACACTTACCATCAAGACAGACAACATCGTACAAGTCATAAGGTGTTGGATTGGTGTTAACACGCAAGTCATCTCTTTGTGACATTGAATCTTCTTCAAATACTATACATCTTCTTAAAATTTCATCATATTCAATTGCTCGACAGAAGTATCTAAAAATGAATAAATATTTGAATTTATCATGTGGAATAACATTATCTTAAAAAGTTACTTTTCAGCTCGGAGACACTGAGCTTGACATTCGATCAAAGACAGGTTAGCAAAAATATCAACTTCAAAAGGACCAGCCAGTCTTTTGTTTTCTTCTTTGACAAAAATAATTTGACCATCACATCTTTTCTCCACTAGAGTACATAATTAATTAAAAGTTCACAATTTTAAATAAACCTATATTTACTTGTTAGGACTTACCACTCAAACAAGTATTTTCTAAATAGTCTGATGTGGGATCATCTTCCAATAGTTCTGGATTTGATCGTCTAGTAAATCTACTTAACCAACAGGTTTTTCCTGTAGAGTCATATGATGCTGATCGACAAACAAATGTAAACTCGTTAAGACACTTATCTTCACAGTCTGTTCTATTAGCGGCTATTACTTCTTTGTATTCAGCCGTAGGTGGCATTTTCAATTTTTTTCTGGGGTGTCTTTCAAATACATAGTGTCTGTTAGCGCATTCTCTCTCTATGCGACTTGCTACAAATTATTTGTATTAATCAAATTATTATTAGTAACTGAAATTAATTATCTGTTACCTAATATTATTTACTTAACAGTAAAAATATTAATGTTCAGTGATAAATTATCACAGTAATTTAATTTTTATAAATTTGATTTAACAATAATTTACTTTCTATTAAAAAAAAACATTTTATTTATAACACCACAAATTTTGAAATTATACAGAGTGATTCTTTTATTACAAACTACTATTAAAATTATTTAATAATATTTTTTATGATCATCCTTTAAGGGTGTTATTTTTAATTTTTTAAATGGTAACATACATAATTTAATAGCTTATTTATTAGATGATGATCTAGTTAAGAAAATTACTAGCCGATAACAACTTTTAGAACAGTATTTCAGAAGTTATTAACATTTTTATGCCTAGGCGGGAGGAAGAGTGACACTGAGAAATGTCTAGTGATAAAAATAGTAACGCTCACACCGCGAATATATTTTGCAAATGTGTGTACTCTTACAATTTAAAAGTTCTTATTGGCTCATTTTAAAATGCCCCGCTTTTATCTTTACTCCAATCAATGTTGTTTTTTATTATCATTTTTGAAATCTTAACTATGATTAATTATCTATATGTTAATTAATGCTTGATAAATTATGAAAAATATGGAACTAAAAGAAACAAATAAAACATTTTTTAATATTTTTCGATTTATTATGTGATCCATGATAAAAGGATCTCCTAGTGTATACTTATATTGAAATAATTTAATATATATATATATATATATAATTTTTTAGTTTCATAAAAAAAAAAACTCTGTTCACCATCCTTAATACATTTTACAATTTAGCACGTATAATTTTATTGTAGTCATTCAATGTATGACTATTATATGTATAATATCATTATACAGTGTATAATATGCACACATATATAATAACCTTTTGAGGTTAAAATATGATATGAACTATAGTAAAAATGTAGTTAAACAAATTATGACCAAAATAATATCCAACTATGTAATAAATGCAAAACTCCCTCAAATTATACTTCTTGGACGATGCCAATTATGTTGAGAAAATTTTATAACTAAAAAATTCCTCTAAGTATAATAATATGTTAATTTAATAGGAAATAAATTAGTTAAGCTCACATGATAGACAAACTTCTGTATAATGTACTGAATTAGGTACTTGTACCAAGACTCCAATTCCTTCCGGATGAGCCTGTTCTCTGGTCAGGTAACACGTTGATTCTTCATATTCGACTGTACCACCAAATGAAGCTATTCGGGTGCCGGGTTGAAAATCAAAGGAAGTGCATGTTCGAACTAAGTTGTTTGCAGCTGTTCGATCACGCAAACACAGTTCTTGGCATTTTTCTAAAACACGGAATGGTGGCACTGTATCTCGAACCTTAACATATAAAATGAAATATAATGGTATCATTATTTTATTTATAAAAAAAATACATGTATAGTAATAATGAAATACAACTATTATTATGTTATAAATTAAAAGTAATAGACAAATTTTTAAGAAAAAAGTTTAAAGAAATGACAGCAGAATATTTAGCTTTATTTTTAAAGTAAAAATAATTTTATGAATTGAAATATAATAACTAAATTTTTCTAGTTTTAGCATAAACTATGAACTGTGGAATCCATAGTCAATTGAAAGTCGAATAAAAGTTAAAATTTTTAATGAATATTTATTGTAATATTTGTATAACTTTAATCAATATAAAATCTTACCACGTCATCGTCAAAGCCTTGAAGTTGATAATCTGGAAGTCTTTCATAAACAATACGCCCAATTCCTTGATTACACGTAGTTTGTGCTGGAAAGCGATTAATCATTTAGAGTATAAGTAAATTTAATTTGTATAATTATCATGATAATGGTAATCCAGCATTGGTATCACAAAATAAGTAGGTTATACAATTTTCCATTTTTTATATTGAAAAACAAATCAATTTATAAATATATAACCCATGGATAAGATTTTTGTCGTTGTCTTAGAAGAAGTTGAGGGATCGAAAGTGACTTATTCATCAAATATAAATAGTATACAATATATATTATATGTATTGTAAGTATCACAAATGTAAATGTATATCTAAGAAATAAAATTAGGTTTTACACCCTCAGTTTTTCACTAGTTGTTCATATCATTGTATTTGAGTAGTAATATAGGAATAATTTAGTATTTAACACATGTTAAATATTTAATGAAACAATGTTTTTCATTTGACAACTCTAGGAAACACTTTTGTCATTGTTATAAAATGTATATTATAAACTAGTATTTAAGATAATTTAAAATCACGATATGTCATATAAAAGAAAACGAAGACCTAAATACAATGATTGTCAAAAAATAAAATAAAAATATTCTAAAATTTTAATTTACTCAAAACTTATAAAAGTAATTAGATTAGAGGTACTTTGTATAAAAAATATATATCATTGAGCAATAATAGAATTATATTTTTATCTATCAAAAGGTGTGCTCGTTATTTCACGTGTACACGCTTTCACGTGTTCACGTGAAATTAAGGTTCGATTTATAAAACCCGTTGCTTAAAATTGTCCGTGAATTTATGATATTATTCACGTGAACCCGTGAAATATTATATTCACGTGAATCCGTGAATTATTATATTCACGTGAATCCGTGAATTGTTATATGAATTTGTGTATACACGTATTTTACTGAGTTCTTTACTTTTATTCGTAAAACAAAGATGATCTTACTCNCGTACCTTTTCGTTTACATTAGTTAAATTCATAATAAAAGATCATGAAGCTAATAAACAAAATTACAATTTGTTCACGTGAATATACTCATTCACGTGCTCACGTGAATTTTATTCAGGTACGTGTTCACGTGAATAAGCTTTCATTGATTCACGTGTATTAACCATACGTGATTTAATTTGTTTCATTCACGTGATCACGATATACGTGAACACGTACATTCATATTCACGTACAAAAACGGGACCCCTAATCAAAAGGTAAATGTAATTTGCCTGGTAAGAAGGCAAAAATTAAAGTAGGTGTACTTTAATATACTGACCAATACAATCAATTCGTTTAAATTACTAATTATTAATAAAATATGTGTTTAATAACAGTACTTATGTAGATATATTTACAAGATTAGTGTTAATTAGTAATGTGTATGTAAAAACGGCGACTCATGTAGGCAAAAGTAATACGTCTAAGATTCCAGTATTTCAAAATTTATTTAACCGCCTTAAGAAAAAATAATTCTATCATACATTTTTGTTAATAGTGGATGATAAATTTACTATGATGATAAATGCTATAGAGCATTAATTTATAATAAAATTTTCATAACAGATATTATTACTATAAAAATAATTAAGTATTCACATAAAAATCGGAAAACCCAATAGCAACGAGATTCATTGACCGTAACTTCCTCTGGACACCAAAGGCTATGTTCATTATTTGACACAGTTTTAAAATAACAATACTATTTAAATCCGTTACTATTGATTTTTGAATAACGTGACTGTAGTAATTATCAATCGATCATTAATTGGCGAATTTTTTCAATTATTTTAATAAAGTCAAGTAATAAGATTTTTTATTGAATTCAGTGGCGATCAAATGATTTTTCCACAGGTCGGATTAATAACCTTTACGATAATAATTTTTGTGGAATCTGTAACTCTATATCTAAGAGCTTTTTTATTTATATTAACTATATCAGAATATTATTGTGGTCAATAAATATAATACATACGTATTAATACATAAATGGATTTCTTCTTATTAAGTTTCAAAAAATTGTACAAAAATGTCAAATAGGGTGTGTTAATTTATCCCCAAGCCAACCTCCTATTTGTCTGCCATTGACAGAATTAATAAAATAATTATAATTAAACAGGTAATACTACACAAAAATAAAAATAAAGTAGTATATTAATTTTTTAATAAATGTTATTTTTATATTTCAGTGTATTAGAGTTCAAAATAATTTTTAACTGTAAAAAAAGTATTAGAAATAGGTTTATATAATACTATTATGTATTAATCTATTTTTTTTTATATAAAGTAAACTATAAATTAATATAAGTGTGATTTAAGGGTATATTATTTGGTAGAAATAATAAATATTGTAAAAAATATTTATTTCGACCCCATGATTTTTTGTGGTTTGTTCAACGATGCGAAAACTTACAATGATTTACAATGTTATGCAGAGTTCAGTGAACCACCTGTTATCTCAGGTTGATCTAGATACAAGAGGTCATGCAAATTCAACATCTAAAAAATGCAACCAATAATAGTTACTACAATCATTTGAAACTGACTAGAAATGAGATTGACTAGTTAAATTCGGGTGATGTAAAAAAAAATACTCAAATATATGAGACAATAATTACCAGAAAATGTTTATACAGTATATTACATTTCTAGTGATTATTGTTTATGTTCTAAGTACCCTTATTGAAGGATAAAATATTATTATTTTATTATAAGTTTGAGTCAATTGTAATAATTTTCTAGTTAAACAAGTAAATTAGTTATTTATTATGTTCATTAAAAAAAGTTTTAGTAGTATCATAATTATTTGATGACTACTTACTGTATTTACAATAAAATTTCACGTTGCTTGGTCATGAGTATAATAATGCAAATTAAACAACAATGCATATAATAATTGTTATAAAACAATGCAAATATCCAAGAGCACAAATGTTTGGTTAAATTTTTATATGTCAAGGTCTTATTTGACCCTAATCAGATTTTTTAACTTTATTTTATTTTACAAAATTTTAGTCTAGTACTTTTAATTGCAAATAATGAACCTGCTAAATCTCTCACCTAACTAAATTAAAACTCATAATCATTAGAGTGTGATTATCATAAAAAATACCTATGAAATAGCTTTTTGTTCCAAATTCCATTACGGATCAGTTAGTGGTTTAATTGAGCCCTGCGTATTTAATCACCGGAACGATTGACTTCGGACTAATTGCTATGCACTATAAACGTGCGCGTAAAACACATTTTAGAGACAATGCTAAGGTGTTACTTATAAACACAAATGAATAAAAAATTAAATTTACGATAAATTACATTAATACTAGATAACTTTTTAACAAATGAACGATCATAAAAATCATTTGATCTAGAATTGAGCCCAATAAATTATACCGTAGTACTTCAACAACATCGATGTTCTTTTGGTCAATAGTATAAAGTCCTGGCCTCTTAAGAGATCCAGATTACTTATTGATGACCTTTTTTTTGTTTTTTATTTAAAAAATAAATTTTTTTTTGGACAAAAAATTTAATGTTGGGTCTTGTTTATTTAAGCCGTGTTAATAATTAATTAATNGGACAAAAAATTTAATGTTGGGTCTTGTTTATTTAAGTCGTGTTAATAATTAATTAATTGTTATTTTAATTGTATACTAAAATTAGTTGATGAATGAGAATTTTAATTTATATTTGAATAAAATAAAAAATACTAAAATTTAAATTAAGCCATTTATATTTACAAGTATATATTAAGAGGGAGTCGCTAGAATAAAAATAAAAACTACCCAATAATTACTTATATCTATAATTCGAAGTCTATTACAGGGGNATTACTTATATCTATAATTCGAAGTCCATTACAGGGACCATTTCATTTTTTAGGGCTGGTATACTTTTAAATGTACCATTTCATATTCACAATTTTTCATTGATGACATTTCTTATTTTTTTTATTTAAATAGTTATTATATTTTACAAAAAAAAAATACTTAATTTTTGTCAGCCACCATAAAAAAAAGCAGACGGTTGCTCGCTGAAATACCCATATAACATCCCTGATTTGTAAAATATTGTACATAATAATACGAATAAATTTATTATTAAACTTAAACACTTAAAAAATAAAAATAAATTAAATTTTTTATTAATTTCTATTCATAAGGTGTATTTAGAAATTTTGTATAATGTTCAGATGGCATCTAAATAATAAAAAATAGTGAGGAGATTTACTTTTCCACTACACGCTACTATGTTAACAACTATATTATATCCATAGATAGTCTAGACCCAATGCATCATGGACTTAAATACGCCACTATTTATTCAAATTTATATTAAACAAATTTGATATGAGTTTAACTAATAAAGAAATTAAAAATAAAAAGTATAAAAAGCAAAATCATGTTATTTTTAATCAGTTTTAAAACAACAAACTAAAGTAATAAATATATTAAACGTAAAGGATATATAAAGCACAACTCAAATCAAAATCGAACCTAAATTAATTAAATAATAGATGTAATATATGAGATTTATATTTATAAACAGAAAAAATACAAAATCATTAAATTAAACATTTGTTCGTGTTTTTAAAATATTGGGATTATTTAGGCATCAATTAAAAAGTAATTGAGTTTGTCATAGAAGTATTTATATATTATTTTCAAAAAATTCATCTTACCGTTGGATAGCATTTTCAGTACAGTAAGAACTGTGATAGCTTGAACCATGATATTTCGAATAGTTAATGATATCATCTCCATTGAAATACTACTCACACATGGTGTACGATACACAAAAGAAATGTAATGCTTAACTTAGCACTAAAAAGAAATTAATTAAAAATAAAATCGCCACTCGAATTTTCGTCACAAATGCGGAATTTACTTAACACTGAACTGACCGGTTCAGATGCCAAAAGGTAAAAGAGATTTCCAGATCCAATTTCCATCATGATAGGCCATCGCACGCGTGTGTGTCCTTGGTTAACGAATGCGCCGGAAGTATGTGGCGGCTATTGTGTTCCGGTTTCCGGAAAAATAGCAGTACCAAATCTGTGTGGACCCTCGATTTTTACTCAAGCGGTCAACGGCTAGTGTGAGAGTGAAAGAGACATCTATAGAGGAGGGTCGATGAACCATCTAATTTTTAGAAATTTTTTGTACGAGGAAGACAAGAGAGAAAATGGATTAATAAATATAAAAATGTAGAATAATTCAATAAAAAAAAGAATAATTTAAGTATATTTTATTAAATGTTAAATAATGCACTAAAGCTTACGGAATAATACCAAACCAAAATATAAATATAATTATGTCGCATAATATTAGTATTATTGTAAATAGGAAATAGCTTCTGGAAATTTTTTTTTTTTTTGAGCAGGGAGATATAAAATTGTTTACTAGTTGTATATACAATTTTTTCAAAATAACAGATTCATTTTTAATATAAATTAAAAGAAGAAAGCAAAATCGAAATATTCGAAAAAACAATATTTGACTTAATTAAAAATGAAAATAATACGCCATAGTTATCTCTAAATCTGATGTCGTTTTACCTATTATTAGTTTCTCAAGTCAATCTTTAAATAATATATGCATGAAAATTATTTGCATATTCACGTAGGGTCAAAAACCATACCTATTCCCAGACAAAGGTCACAACGATTTCATTAATTAGCGTTGTTCAAGGTCTCTGCTGCACCCCGTAATTTGCTATTCCATCCTAATCAGTCGCTGATTTTAATTACATCCAGAAAACTAAACGTACTAAAAATGAATAGTATCCATAGGTAATTACACATAATTAAAACTATTGACAGTTGAAAATTCTTTATGTTGCTTAGTATGTTACAATAAACGTCAACTATATATATTAGTTAATTTTTTTTTTAATTACACTTAGAATTACAAATTTTTAACTAACACAACGAAAAGAAGATTTATTATCTATAATGAAGATATGCTAGATGTTACATTCAGTGTTGCATTTTAGCAGACTGTAAATTTATTAGTAATATAAAGTAAAAGTAAATTTTGAAAATTTCCAATTTTTTATTAAAAAGTGCAGCTGTATTTAGTAATACTAAATAATTAAACAACTTAAAATTTGGTCATTCTTTAAAAACGTATAGCTGATTAAATAACTTTTAATTATATTTATAAATAATAAATCACCTATACATTTCTAATGGTCAATTCAATAAACGAGTATTTACTAAGGATAATCCTAATAATTTCATTATAAAATGTTTATAATAGTTGGGTTTTTTTCATATTTAATGTTATTAAATTATAAGTGGATAATTATGAAAAATGTTCATTTGTTAAAAGTTATAAATACATTAACTAAAATTAGTAGGACAAAAGAAAATTCTCTATTATCAATTAAGAGTGTGATAACCCACAATAAATACTTAAAACTCAGTACACCCGATTTTTCCGTCATTTTGTGACTAACGTACTTTTATGTTATGTAAAAGTGTTATTGGATTCAATTCGATTTTGTCATTAGTATTTCATTGATCTGATGATATTCTACCATATTTTAATCCATGTTAATTAATTTTTTTGTTTTTGTTTTAATACGAATCTGCTATTTAAAAATGTAAGTATACTTACTTTTTTTTAGTAATATATATGTGAATATTGAAATTTCAATAATGACCATAATAACAAAAACATAATTATATTGAAGATTAAAAAAAATGTTATCAATAGATTTTAATAAACGTAAATAATTTTGTAATTCATAAACAAATTAACTAGTATAGTTGCAAATCTAATTTTTTATTACTGAATAGTTTTGAAAATTATACATTATTTTAGGCCCCATTTGTAATTCCAGAATCACAAAAATGTTAGATAACATTTTTTGACTTAGTGGTCTAGAACATAATAATTTGATACATAAAGAAGAGAGTTCGTCATTTTTAAAATTTTATGAGTCATTAAAAAAATTCTATATTTTCGTATAATATAATTGCATTTGTAATATTATTTATTAAATAATTTGATGACAAATACCTGATGTTAAATTAAAGATTTGTTTTATTTATAGCATAAGACATATAACAATAAATATCATTAAAAATGGAGCTATCTGGTTTTTACAGCAAATTCTTCAGTTGTTAAAGTTGATTCGTAAAATTTGCGAGGTAAATATATTTATCATTTTACTATGATAGATTTCAGATATAATCAACAAAAATTTTTCAATATGAATTCTTCTAATTTTGTTTTTTAATGTTATCCAATACTTACGCTAACATTAAAAAATAAAAGTTTTTTTTATTTGTTAATTTTTTTATAATTTTGGGGTCATTGATGGACTCTTGAAATACACTTGTCTCCGGTAGCCTAATATACATTAGTTTGATCTTGATTTATTTCTGGTGAATACTGTTGAGAATTTCGCTATAAATAATTTGATATTTATGAGTACATTTGATTAATTCACTAAAGTTACAAGTAGATCCGGTACACGAAAATTCATGACTTTTCGTATAAAATATTGTAACTGGCCAAACTGTTTTTTATTTAACATATTCTATACAAATCTGTACCTTATTCATCTAATTATTACAATAAAAATAATAAATCCTTTTTTCTAGATTTATGTTACACTCGATATAAAACCAACTTTAAAAAATTAATAGATTGACTTTCACGTTCCCGTTTATTAAGCCCTTGAATATTATAAAATAAAACATACAATATCTATAGCATTCAATGATGTACGTCACTGATAATGATTACGCAATATTGTAACTATTCACGATTAAGATAATAAAGTGTACAATGACGTTAATACAAAATATAATGAATAAACACAAAAAAACATAATGTGAACTACATTTTACAGTTTCCGTAAATCATACTAATAAAAAAATAAAATAAAATTGAGTTCATTCACTCTTATTCTAATAAAAGCTGTTTCTATGTGCTATGAATTATTTAAAAAATTGATGTAAATAATGTTCATTACAGTTTAAAAGTGTGGTTAATTATGTTTATTGAAGCGTTTGTTTTGTTAGATTTGTAAATACTTCAATTTTAAATAATTATAATTTATTAATTTTAAAAATAAAAAAATTATCGTAATTTTTTTTATTTGAAAATATTTTGTGGGTTTATTTACAGTGATTTTTTTTACAAAAATATTAAAATTTAATTTTTTAAGGAAAAATATAGTATCAATAATTAAAAATAATATCGATATCATTTGTTATGGTTTTTATACCGATGTCGATTATTTGTTCGATATATTTTGATTACATCTTTTGTTTAATAATAAATAATCGATCGTTAACTGTAACATTTATATAAACAATGTTATGATATTTATGAATGATAAATATATTACTTTAGAGAAAAAATCTGAATTTCTTATTATATTATTGTCTATGTTTTTAATCAGGTACCTTTTAGGCACATAATGCATTAAAAGTCAAGTAGAATTCATTTTTTTATTACAACTGTTATTTAATTCTTTAACCAGTGTTTATAACACTCAAATTTTTTTTTTTTAATATAGTGGTTAACGGTATTAAATATCGACTAATTATCAAATATTAATAGTAAAAAATCGCATAAAAATTAAATTACAATTGATTTATTAAAAATGTGATTAATTGGAAACAGTATTACTAAACTTTAATTTTGTATTTTATTGTGGCCCAGTATAATGTATGAAGCGCTACACTTTGTGCAATTTAGATAAAAAATCTTAAGTTTTTTTTTAATAAAACTAATCGTATTATTTAAAAATGTTCTGTGATAGTAAATAGTGGAAATCATAAAAAAAAGCGATTTATGTTTTAACAAATTAACTTTTTTACACTTAACAGTTCTTTTTATAAGTATGTATAAGAAAAATGTGGTTTAGCGCTCTCTGTGTGATTAATGCAACTGTATTTTGTATGTTAATAAATTAAGAGATGGCAGTGTTGTCCTTAAAATAAATTATACATAAAAATTAAAATATGTTCATAATGAATAAAAAATTATTTATTGCATTTACCAATATTTAACCAAGGACATATATTAGTAATCTCAATACTTAGGAAAGAAATTGTGTTATTACGAAATTGCATACAAAAATGATTAAAAAGCTTTTTAAGATGATTATTAATTTTATAATTTGTACATAAATTAGTCGAAGGGTATAATCACCCTTCCACTACCTATCAGTATCAAGTGAGTAAAAATACAACTATCGACCTAATGGTATTACACTTGATAAGTTTTACTTATTATTGTTTTTCTTGCTTAATTTACATACAAATTGATTTTTAATGTTTACTAATTGAATAATTTTTGCTTTAAAAATCATAAACGTGATAATTTTGTTAAAACAACAAATTATTTTTGTTTACAAATCTGTAAATTACAATTCTGTATTTTAAAATCCAACTAATATTTCACTTTATTGGTGAATTACGGACTGAAAGTTGGGTGGACGGCTCACAGTTTCCAGAAATAAAATTAACGCTTTCAAAATTTAAAAAATTATTTAATTAACGTTATATAATGATATTTTTTTAGTGGGAGAGGAAAACTATCGATTGTCTCCCAATTTTTTTCTCACTCTTGTGATGGGCAGGAAAATATATATAAAAGAGATTTTTACTACCTCACCTCCTAATTGAAGTATAACTGTATCTTTATTACATAAATATTTTCACCTTGGGTGTTTTTGACCTTTATTCCGCCCAAGTACACCCTGACACATATTATTTCAAAATAAAAACCACGGAAGTATTGTGATACAGTTGTATATTATTGATTTGTTATACGAATGTGGAGTGAGTTATTTACATAATCGGCAATTAATATTTTATTCACTAAAAGGAATATTACAATTATCTCAATAGTGTACATTTTTTTAATAACAAAGATTACAATATAACATATTGGTCATCTGTAGCTAATATTATTTAAAATTAAACATAAATATTAAATATTAACAATATGTGTTTAGCGCTGATGATTGTAAAATATATTTTAATTTTAAATAAAAAATGACAATAATAATTTCAAACTAAGAGTTTTATTAGTCTGGGTCATGGCCCAGGCCGTAGTTCCGTCTGTGACGTTAGCCATAAATGGATATAACTAGTACTATATTTAATCAATATTTGATATAATATTTACTACTCAGCTATAATTTATTTCGTATGTAGAAGTAATATTTTTTTTCATAATATGAAACATATAAATTTTATTTGAAAAAATTAAATAAATCTAATCGCACGAAAAGCTATTCCCAGAAATCATCACTAGAGTCTAGAACTATAGTAGGTTGAATGAAAACGAATAAATATACCAAACGGGAATAGTGGAGACGAACATTTTTGGGTTTCCAGTGAGAGGTCTTTTCCCACCGCTAAAGAATGATAGGAAGACGAGTACTCGCACACGCGCCACCAACTTCTTGTAACCAATCTGACGGCTCGGCGCGATTTGTGTTCAGTGGCAACGTGACTGCTCGCGCTCGTTGTGTGCTGTTGTTCGATATCCGGACGTTTGTGCTTAAGTGCTCGATTTGGTACCGATGTGTATTTGGAAATTTTGAATTTGATTCGATATTGCGTTACTATTGGTTGTATGTAAGTCCAAAGGTTGGCGGTGTAATAGGACAAAAACAATTTATAGCCTTTTCGAGGCACTTCTCCTGAGTAATCAATACGCAAACACGACCTGCNAAATCTAATCGCACGAAAAGCTATTCCCAGAAATCATCACTAGAGTCTAGAACTATAGTAGGTTGAATGAAAACGAATAAATATACCAAACGGGAATAGTGGAGACGAACATTTTTGGGTTTCCAGTGAGAGGTCTTTTCCCACCGCTAAAGAATGATAGGAAGACGAGTACTCGCACACGCGCCACCAACTTCTTGTAACCAATCTGACGGCTCGGCGCGATTTGTGTTCAGTGGCAACGTGACTGCTCGCGCTCGTTGTGTGCTGTTGTTCGATATCCGGACGTTTGTGCTTAAGTGCTCGATTTGGTACCGATGTGTATTTGGAAATTTTGAATTTGATTCGATTGATTACTATTGGTTGCATGTAAGTCCAAAGGCTTGACGGTGTAATAGGACAAAAACAATTTATAGCATTTTCGAGGCACTTCTCCTGAGTAATCAATACGCAAACACGACCTGCAGTCAATAATGGAGACAGAAGAGATCACCAAACTCGTTGATGGAATCTATAAGGTACATTTAACGTTGTATATTATTGGCCTTGTTTTTCATATTTGATGACTTGATAATATTTTTTTGAAATTGTGCTGTTAAATATTATAGCTACTTAAAAATACTGGATTACGTTTATTAGAAGATAGGTGTATCTTTTGGGAATATACTTAACACTGTCTAGAAAAAAAAAAATTAAAATTCGAAAAATAATTCAAGACCAATAAACTTTATTGGCTTATCTGAAAAATCATTCAAATACAAAAAATATTTTGTACATGTATGAAACGGGTAACCTTTTTAGTAATATTAGAAGTAATATATTATTTCCGGTTAAACTGATTTTGGATATAGACAGCAGACGTATTGAGGGCCAAACAATACACCGGAGAATTGAATAGGACAACTTATTCCAGTCAACCGGTAAATTACTATCTACCCTTAAAGTATGGTACATTAATGTTATTATAAATAATGTTTTCCTGGTCTCTGGCCGATGTTAAGATCAATTGAACATGCCACGGAAGTCTGTTGGTTTAGGGCTCTGATTAGTTTAGTTTATTTGTGCTTGAAAGTATAAAAAAGATAACGAAAGTTCAATGTGGTTAATTAGTAACGAAGAAAACTATTTAAATATATTAATTTCATTTATTCCTTAATAGATTATTCAGTCATTAATATGAATTAAAAATGTATTCAATTTGGTGGAACGGTATGGAAGTCACAAATTATTATCGTGCCGTCATATTTGTAAATACTTAGAAAATATTTATTAAAATTCAGAATTTTCATTATTATATTATTTTTTTATTTTTTTATTTTTCAATAATTATTTATGAGGAGATAATAGTATTTTTCTGCTCGTTTGTACAATAATCGAATTGTACAAATAAATCCTATTTGACAAAGAAATGTAAATTTGTTTTTTTTTTTTAAATATATATATATACCTTTGATAATCTCAGAAAGTTTTTTCTTGGCGGTATATTTAAAATTTACATTAATGATTACTCGGAAGAAGGTTCGTTATTTTTTACAAAATTCCATTGGAAACTTGCATTTTTAGTAGTATGGAATAAAGTAACTTTTCTTTTACTTTGAAATGCATTTTTACGGCTTATAAAAGTGCATGACAAGGTTTAATATTATAATGAATACTAAACACAGACAGAACTAAGGGTTTAACGCAGTTATTTTCTATTTGAACGAAGATATTTCAAAATTAATCATTAAAATCTTGTATAACTGAGTCAAAGTCTATTTTCCATAGTCATAAATATATTTCTTGTCAGTTAAAAATTAATGGTCTCGCAGAAGTTTTTACGCTATACATGATTAAAATAATGGTAAAACGTGTAATTTTATATTTCAATAGCATTCCACTAATCCATCAAAAGTATTAAACATTATTTGAATTAAAGATAACATTTTTTTTTTTTAATATAAATCGGTTTTTTTATGTACTTATAAATGTATTTTTCTTGATTTTAAATTTAGTCCTTTAAATGATTTCTGTATGAACAAGTATTATTTTCAATTGGCGACTTATTATCTTCTGTAAAAAAACCGCGATTGGTCCTAAAATGTGAACAATAAAGTTGTATTATTGTATCGCACTTTTATTTTAAGTTATTAATAATTGAAAGAAATAACATAAAGTAAAAATTCAATTTACGCCTCTGAGTAAAATTATGTTTTTATTATAGTAACAAGTGTTTTATTCTGCTTGGTTTCATTTTTTAAATGATACCATCAAATTTCCAATAAAGATTTTTATGCAAGAATCCCTAAAAATAAATTTGTACATTATTAGGTCACAATTAAGTTGCGTGACCATTTGTTTGCGTCTGATTAATTTTAATTTGATGAGAGATACCCACAACTTATCACTGTTTGAACTGAAATCGTTGACTTCCACAATAATGGAAACTAACGTCTCCTCAGTTTTCAGCAAAATATCCACCCTAGTAAATTTTTTTCAATATTTTCCCAACACTTATGTAAGTAATCGAAAGCGACTCAGATTTATTGGGCGCGTATTTTATAGGTCTAAAAAAATATCTGTAAACGTTCATTTATAAAACTTCTAAGAACTCGTAAGTTACCAATTGATTAGCGAGAGTTAATCGATTTTAAAAATCGGCTAGGATTATAAAATATTGTTTATTTAATTGGTTCAATACTGAGTAGTCTTTTAAAAAAGTTTAAAAACTTCTGTAAAAACACGTTTTAGCTTTTACTTTAAGTCGATATCGCTAAGTATTTTATAAATGGGTAATACCTATTTATCAACCTTGACAAAATAAATATTTTCTATTCATTTGTAAGCTCTTGAATGATTCAGTAAGCTGTAGTTTCTGCATTTCTAACTGTATAGTAGGAACATTAGCTCGGGACTTATGGAGGTCAGAAGCCGAACTATTAAAAGTTACACTTGAAATAAAATGTAAAGTTGTTAATTTGTTGTGACAAATATTACTTCGCTTTTAAAACTTTTGGTTGATAATTAACGTATGCGTAAAAATCACATTACCTTGCAGAAGTTGGTGATAAATTACATAAAAAAAAAAAAAAAAGATTACATTTAATGAGAACCGTTTAGCGTCCGTTTTATTGACTACAATCAGAACTATTGAAAAACAATATGATTTTTATGTAGTTCTCTGAATAAATATTTTAATTCATCAAAAAAATATTATTTCACTTATTATCTCAAATGTTACATTAATAATGTACGTAAAATAGACATTATTTTTATGTTAATTAAAGTTACGTCTAAAGACAATGTTAAAAATAATATTATTTCATCTGGGGGTAGTTCAAATCGTGTCTCTTTCGATACTTGTAGCGGAACAGCTGGAACTGACGTAGCGGAACAGTATGGGATGGACCAAGAACTATGGCACGGTAAGGAATCCGTGCTGATATATTTTAGCTATTCGCTCGACAGCCGATATAAATAACGGAAGCCAACGTGGTATTCACAGGTATATAAGAAAACCTCAGTTTAAATATTAATTCATACCAGTTTATGAAATCATGTGTATTCTGTGCAGAGCGATTATAAACATAACACATATAGAAACACAAAACGAAACTAAACTCTGCCAGAGTTTACTAAAACAAACTACATTAAAAATGTGGAGCGCACACGCTTATTATGTAAAATGCTAAAACCGTTATTTTCTAACTAAAACTTGAATAGGCTATTTGAGCTGATACCGTCTGGTTGTAATCACAACCGCGACCCTGCCCCTGACATTGGTATATTTTTACCGAATTAAAAATAGTAGATTTTCCAAATCTTTAATGGGATAATATGATTTTGGTGTTATTTATGTCATAATATTGAAGTTACATCAAAGAGAATAACCACACGCTCTAGGATTTTTTTTTTAAAAAAAGTATACAAAAATAAAAGCGATTCACGACACTTTGAATGAAACTACACAAACAAGATTCAATAATATTGTTTACACATGTCTTCACAACACAATTAGACACGGATTTTCATGTTTATTGTCACGTTGTTCAGAGGGCCACTGCGCGTGATGTCTCCATGGCAAATTTATAATGAATTTTTTGGTCTTTTTAGCTATAGGTCATAAAGTAAAAATAAAAAAAATAAATTACGACAAATCCAACCCAACTGCGTTTTTTTTTATTCTCAAAATATACATATATATTACAAAGTATAATACTATTATACTTTATATTATTAATATGAAGTATATTAATAATATAAATTTAAGTAAAAATAAAGTGAAAAATTGCTGTTGATACAAAAAATACGAGAATATCTCGAAAATTCGCAACAAATACTGGATTTTTATAGTATTTAAAAAACCAGTAGTATATGATACTACTTGAGTATTGCTTTATTTTGAAGTAATTGCTGCTGTGATGGTGTCACGTTACCATTAATTGGTTTATCCTCCTCTCCCATATCCAAAGTATTTGTGTCTTGCACTTCATCTGCACCTCGTGTTACTCTTATTCCATTCCTATAACAACGGCCTTTCGACATCCTAAGCCGACCCGAAAAGTATCAGCCGACTACGGTAACTGCTGTACGATCACACGTACGTGAATATTCAGGCAGCAGACTTATCATCTTTGTACCCACACTACTCGTATTCGTTGTGAGTTGTTTTGCGTTACACAAAACAATAATACAATCCTATATGTAATTTAAATGAATTAATTAAATTTAATTAATTAATGATAAATACGATTATGTATTTATGAATGTCGATTGTATAATTAATTATTAATATAATTATAAAGATATGAAAATAGAGTCAAAATTCTATTTAGATATCATGTAAAAATTATAAATAAGAAAATGGCTGTTGTCCCGTGTTAATGAGTGAAATACTATTTGACTTAGTATGTTTTTTGTTATTTATAGATACCCTTTGTAAATAAATATAATTTTTGTTGTCTCGTTTGATTGAAAACATTAATTAGGTGACTTTATAATTCATTTGAAAGTATATTATTTTATAATTGAACAGATTCACAACTGTAGTGTGATAAGTAATATTTAATTTTTAAAACTTTGTACACTTTAGAAAAAATTTATAATAAAGATTTTGGTTAATTAATATACTTATAAATAACATTTATTTATATGCTACTTTATATTCTTTATTTATATTCTTAAAGCACTGATTTGGGTAAAGATAATCAGACACCATTTTATAGTAAATTATTCACGTCATAAACAGCTTTTAATCAATTCGAATTTTCGATTTGCATAATAAATAATGTAAAGCTTATAAATTGTAAAGTACTACTTCGTTAGCTTGTCGTCCTACATTATATCATTGGATTAAGCGAGTTAGTCTTTACACACAATTGATTATTGATAAAAAAATTATTCTTTGAAATGAAATTGCAATTGAGGATAAAAAAATTCTCTAATTGTAAAGTGTCTATTGTAACTTACAATAGTGTATACATATAATGCGTTGTTCATTTAGTTGCTATTTCCTCGTCCAATAATATTAACCATAATG